CCAGCACCGCACTGGCCCAGGGCGGACATCCATCAGGGAGGATGTTTGCACAGGCTGGACGCTGCCTCAAAGCCTCGGAGCCACATCCAGAGGAGGAAGCCGGCTGAGTTCTGGTATCGTTGCTGCAGCTGGTGTTGTGAATCAGGCCGACGAGCAGCGCTTCCTCTTACCCGGCTATTTCACGACACCAGGGTTGCATCATACCCATCCTCTCCAGGCGAGCCTCGTGGGACCAGGTCGGACATGGACATGGGGATGGGGTGGGGGTGGGCAGTCTGTGTATGAAAGATCATTCTCTTTAGCCCACTGGGTATCAGTCTGATCACTCCTCAGGAGCCCCTGGGGAGCTTTCCAAGAATATCAATGCCAGCCTCTCACCCCTTTTCAGCCTCAAGCCCATAGAATCCCCAGTGCTGGGTCACGGAGTCAGCATTTGTCAGGGGCTCCAGTGTGATGGTCGAGTCCCTGTGCAGTCAGGGGCAAGTCCTAGGGCTCAGAGCTGGGCAGTTGTCTGTTCTTGTTCTTGCCTGACTGTTGCCATGGCCCCTCCCTGGCCCTATTCTTTCTTCCTGGTGCTCCTCACCACACCACTGTGTCACCAGATCTCTGGAAACAGATGAGATCTGATTCTCCAGGACAAAGCCTGGGCTCCTACCCTGGCATTCAAGGCCCTCCTTGCCAGGTTTCCTTACTAGAAATGACACTACATTTCCCCCATAGAGTCCTCCCTATTCCTGTCTTCTCTCCAAACCCTGTCCTGCAGGGATCCGTGTGCTGGTTCTGTCCGCTCTGTCTTCAAACTATATCTCGACTCCCAACACCTCTCGTGACCCTGCCAACCACAGCTACTCCCTGGCCTGGCCACCACTGTCATGTACCCACCTTGCCCCCCTAGTCTTGCTCTGCCCTTGCCTCTTTCCATCCAGTCTCCACACAACAGCCAAAGAGCTCTTTGAAAAATATAAATCTGACCATCACATAACAGAACATGAAACTTTTAGCCCTGGCCTATAAGGCCTGGTGTCCCCCATTCCATGTCTCAAACCCTATCTCCGTAGTCCCTCTGCTCTGGCCATAACTGCCTCCTTGCTATCTTGAAGCCCCAACCACATTCCTACCCCAGGACCTTTGCACATGCTCTCCCTTCTGCCTGGAACCCTCACATCTGCTCACTTATGGATAGCTCCTTCTTATTGCTGGAGCTCAGCTCAAATTTCTCTCTCCTAGAGAGGCCTAAATGCCCCTCCTTAAAAAAAGAAGGAAAAAAAAAGCTTTGTTTTCTTAGCAGCACTTATCACTGAATGTGTTATAATGATTGCTTGTTTACTATTTGTCTGTCTCTCCCACTAGAATGTGAGCTCCAGGAGGGCAGGGCCTCTGTCTTGTTCCCTGTGGTGTCTCCCTTGCCTAGCACAGGGCGTGGTATGCAGTAGGCACTCAATAAATGTGTAGAAACAATCCAATCCCTTTTCCGCCTCATCTCCCACCATGTCTTCCCTCCCTGTCCCCCACGGCACAGTGTGCTCCAGTCCCACTACCTCATCCCCTCCAATGACCCTGTCCTTCTGGCACTCCATGCTCCAAAACCCCCTCCATCCTTGCCTATGTCTCCCCTCCTAGCTCCCCTCTCTTCCAGGCCAGTCTCCATCCTCTGCTAGCCAGTTGATTCAATCTCCTTGCTGATGTGTCTGCCAGGCTAGGCCGTGAGTTCCAGTCCTGGTGCATAAAGGCCTGGATACCTCTGTGGCGGTGAAGACAACAGGCCGTCCTGTCTCCACCATTTCAGCCCTCTATGCTGGGGTTTTTGCTTCCAGGGAGTTTTGTGACCCTGAGTCTTTCCATTCCTTTACTGCCCCTATTCTCTCTCCTCTGAGAACCAGGAGATGCCAGGGGCCCTAAATCCTCCAGCCAGGGGCTGACTCTGGACTAGTTAGTGATACCAGCACTGGTATTGGTGTCATTTCCATTTAGCTGCTGGGGAGACTGAGGTTCAGTGAGGTCAGGTGCTGTGCAGAATCTGACAACTGAGATGGGAGCCTGACATCCCCTGAGACCAAATCACAGGGCTTCGCTTAGGGTTCATGAGACTCCAGTCCCGGGTCTCAGACCTGATGGCCACCTGGCAGCCGAAGCCCTGGAAGGCAGGAGTCGTGTGTGACCCATACTGTGCCCCATCAAGTGTGCCTCTGTGAGCATTTCTCAAAGGCAAGAAGCCTCTTTCTTGGGAATCTGTGCTGTGGGACACAGAATTCCACTAGTCCCTTCAACTGTCCTGTTGTTAAGCCCTTTGAGGGGTCCTGCTTAAATCCCACTCCCTCCAAAGAGACTCGGAAAGGGGACAGTAAAGGCTTCTCAAAGCAGCAAATGCTCCCCCTCTAGGGCTGAGAGGGACCCTGGAGCTGACCCAGGCCTGGGAATTGCAGAGTGGGGAGGAAGTGGCTTGCTCAAGGTCACTCAGCAAACTTGTGGCCCCTCACTCTGCCGGGGGCCCCAGTGCTGCTGGATACCAGCCCTGGCCCCTCCGGCCTCTTCCTCTCCTGAGATCTTAATTAGGAATTTTCCACAGCTGCTCCAGGGACAGGGTGTATAGGGACGGTGTAAGCGGGTGTTGGGCAGCTGTGATTTTTGCCAGTCAAGAGGCAATTAAAGATCAAGAGGGTGATAAGATCTGAAAGAGCTGCCCCGAGGCCCCATGCAAGGGAAGGAGTAATTCTCAGATGGGGTGGGGGCTGCAGAGAAGGTGGAAAACTGGCCAGGACTGGGGTCCTGGCCCTGGAGTCCTCACCTTGGAGCCTTCACCCCTCTGGCAGCTGGCGTAGGGGTTGGGGACACACTCCTGCAGAAACCTCTCTGACGAGGGGCTGGATGTCTGGAAAAAGGGTAGGCAAGCCTGGGAGTCATTACAAGGAGCCCCAAGAAGAGTCCTTTCAAAAAATGAACACATAGTAAATATATAAACTTTGCCAAAAGATGTGCAAGGATCATAACATTCGGGGTTTGTCATAGAAGACCTGTTGTCCTCAGCTCATCTTCGTGCCTGGTTGAGCTGGGAAGACCCCGAGGACCTGCCTCTTGCACTGACCCCACCTTGGGGTAGTTCTGGCGGCCAGGGATTTCTCTGGAAGCCTCTCTTTGCTTCTGGGTTCCCTTTGTTATTCATTCAACAAGCATTTAATGAGGACCTGCTCTGTGCTGTTCTGGTTGTTGGGAATATCAGTGAACAGGATGGGCCAGATCCCTACCCCTGTGGGCTGGTCTTCTGACAAGTTAGATGAAATGGATGTCCCCCTTTCCAGAAAAATGCACTTTGGTGTGAAAAGTTGTCCACAATTTTATGGGGCTCCAGGACCCCAGTGTAAGCACCCTCATCCTGGAGGGTGAGTCCCTAATGCAGTTGCTACCCTAATGCAGTCTGAGCATTTCCTCTTGTCCTGAGCCTGGAAGTGAGGGGGCAGCATAAGCCAGCCAGGCCCCGCTGTGTGTTCTCAATCCACTAGTGCTGACTTACTGATGAAGGTCACAGGGTCCCAGGCACACTGAGCAGCTCAGAGCTGGTCTCTGGGGACCTAAGTGAGCTCTGAGAGCCCAGGTCTGAGAGGCAGGGCAGGGAGAGAGAGAGAATGTGTCCCTCCGTGTCCCTCCCAAGCCAAGCTCAGAAGCCTGGGGCTGGTGGTGGCCTTGAGCCTCTGTCTGTCACCTGCCTCCAGAGGACCAACTTGTCCTCCAAGACTCCAGTCAGGGGTCTGTCCTGTTCCTGGTCATCCCTGACCCTCCTCCAGGGCGTCTCTCTCATTGTGCCCTCATCACATAGCAGGGCTGGTCTTTTCCATGTCCATTTCCCCCACTAACGCAGCAACCCCGCAAGCACAGGCACATGACCACAGTCTGTGTTCCTGCCTCCTATCTCCACCCACGGCATAGTCGGTGGTCAGTAAGGTTTATTAGGTGAATGGCTGAAAGATGCAAAATCCAGCAGGGATGACAATGAGATGAACGTTCACCTGTGAGCCTCTGGGCCACCCACCCCCAGGAAGCAGACTCTGAGACACAGGTGAGCCTGCAGGGCACCTCCATTGGGGCTCGTGAGGTCAGTAACTCTAGAGAGAAGAGAATGAAGGAGGACAGAACAGAGGGAGGAGTGGGTGCTGTGTAGACAAAGCCTCAGCTGACCCCTGGGACCTCTGGAGCTGGGGTGGCCCTTTAGAGCTGGGGGCAGGGCATCAGGCATTTGCACGCCACACCCATCATTGGAGGAGAACTCAGTAGGGGAACAGTGGCCATCGGCAAGACCATCACCATAAGGGCTGATGCTGAGACCCCTCGCAGAAGCTTGGGGGTGTCCTTCTTTTCTGATGGTACATCAGACATTCACCACGCTGACTCCTCTCCAAACCCTGACCCATTTCTGTTTCAATCCCTACAACTCAAATTTCAATTCCCTTACGCTCCACCTCACCGTGGCTTAGGCGCCTCTGGTGATCAGAGTGCTGCTCCCAAGGCCACTGTGCATTCAAGGGGTAGACTTAGGGCTGTTGACAAAACTGGAGCCAGACCTGGCCCAGCTCTGGGATGGTCCTGGCCTCCTGCCCGCTGTGGGAGCTGGGCTCTCTGTCTGGGCTGGCCGGCAGGGAAGGGCTGGCTCCCTGGGCTCCACACCCCAGTGGCCCTGTAAGCAGAGTCAGGGGGAGGTGGCACCGTCTTGTCCTGCAGGCCACTGGGCAGCCACAAGCCCCAGGGGATCATCAGTCCACTGGTGGCTACAGATCACACCTGGCACGTGCTGAACTCTGATCGAGGCTACTCGTACATAAAGGCTTATACATACTGAGATGTCTTTGGGAGGACACACAAGACTGGGAGTCAGAGGTCTAAGAGAGACTAAACTTTTATATATATGTATGTATCATTTTAAATGTCATGCCATTTATCTATTCAAAACTTCTAAATACATAAAAAGTAAAACTAAGTACCATGTACTGAAATGAGAGGTTTTTGAACCTGCATAGAATGGGTCCTCAGGTCATCAGGGTCCCTCATCTAGGGTCCCTCATAGGGTCCCTAAGGGTCCTCTTGCTGCATACTCCTTCCTGGGGTTTGGCTGCAGATGTCTGTTGCCCCCAGACTCAGAAGAGCCTCTCTAGGACCCAGGGGCTGTGTGTGCCACCCTTCTCCGCTGAGCCAGCCCAGGCTCCCAGTCCAAGGCCAGGCTGCTATCTCGGTGATCAGTTGGTAAGCAGGACATTAGTGGGCACGTGCTCTGCCTCCCACCCCATTCAGGGACCTTGCTCACCAGCCGTGGGCGGTTTGGGCCGACCTCCTGGCCTTCTCCCTGCTCTGGGCCCAGCCTATAAAACCACCCTGTGTGTCCCCACCGACCCTGGCCCCCTCCCGACACCCAGAGCCACTATGGCAGAGCTGCCAGTGTCAGAGACACCCAGGGACCCTGCTCTGTGCAGTGGGCGCTTCACCATCAGCACGTTGCTGGGGGGTGATGAGCCCCCACCACCGGCTGCCTATGACAACAGCCACCCCAGCCACCTGACCCATGGCAGCACCTTCTACATGCGCACCTTTGGCTACAACACTATCGACGTGGTTCCTGCCTACGAGCACTATGCCAACAGCACCCTGCCCGGTGAGCCTCGTAAGGTCCGGCCCACGCTGGCCGATCTGCATTCCTTCCTCAAGGTAAACACTGTCCCGGAGGACTGGCACTTCCTTGCTGTGTAACCTTGACCCAGTTACCTAACCTCTCTGAGCCTCGGCTGTGTAATGGGGATGAACAGATGTCTTCCTCATGGGTTGAGAAACCCACATGAAATGCAGGCATGGGAGCTGTTAAAGCTCTGGACATGTGTAATGTTTATTACCCAGTCACTGGCAACCCAATCAAGCAATCTAGGGTTGCCCAGAGAGGTAATGAGCTCCTAGTCAGTGGAAGTATACAAATAGAAGCTGCAAACCCCTAGAAGAAAAGGGGACAGGAGGATAGGGAAGGTCTGCATCAGAGACAGGGCTTGCTGGGCTTGCTGCCTGGGAGGCTGGAGGTGGAAAGTGGAGGGCTGGGAGCTGGAGTGTCATGACCCTGCCTGCCTGACCCTTTTCTGGGCTCCCAGCAGGAAGGCAGCCACCTGCACGCCCTGGCCTTTGACAGCCGGCCCAACCGTGAGATGACTGATGGGCTGGTGGAGGATGAGACAGGCACCAATGGCGAGAAGAACCCCGAGGAGCCCGTGCGCTTTGGCTGGGTCAAGGGAGTGATGGTGAGTAGGGTGTGAATGGGATGTCCAGGGATGGAGATGCAGAGACAGAGCTCCATTCAGGCTTGGCTCTGATTCTCAGGCCTTAGTGGCCAAGGAAGTCCCCAGACCCAGCCCGGGCCTCAGTTTCCCCATCTGCATAGTGACCTCAAATTTTCTCTGCTTTAGTGCTTCCTGACTCCCATTTACCACCCTCCCCCAGACTGAGACCTGGCCCTGGGGAAGATCTTTGGCTGCTCACCCTTCATGTGACCTTAGACAAGTTACTTAACCTGTCTGTGCCTCACTTTCCTCCTCTATGAAATGGGGGGCATTGAAAGAGTTGATAGATGTAAAATGCTTGGATAAATATCGGCCTTGGAGTTTCCCCAAACTGTGTTCCCCCCAAAAGCCACCAGAGGGCAGCACTAAACACACAAATCCACAACTGGTGGTTTCTCTCATTCTCCATGATGGGAAGGGGAAGGTTTGCTGTTTTAGTGTAGAGCACTGGGAAGTCCCAGACAGCAAACAGTCAAACGAATTTGGTTTTCAAGACATTATGGGACTTAACAGAAGGGATTGCATAAGATCTAGGAGAAAGCTTTAGTCCTGTTCTGGGAGGCAGGAGGCCTGGGTTCTCATCTTAACTCTGCCAACTGCCTGCTGGCTGTTCCTCTCTTTCTCCATCTGAACTGTGAACCCCCTTTTATCCTCAGAGGCCCATATCCAGGGTCTGGATCTCCTCCCCCAGACTGGGGTGGCCAGAGCCTGGTGTGGGCCTGTTCAGTACCTCAGAGCATATGGAGGGCCTTAGAAATCTCCCAGGCCTAGAATTTTGAATCACTATGTTGTACACTTGAAACTAATGTAATATTATAAATGAACTATACCTTAATTTTAAAAAATTAAATTACATTAAACTTAAAAAGTTTTAAAAGACTGAAATGAAGAAACAAAACTCCTGGGCTTGTAAATACCACATGTCCCACCCCAAGACTTGACTGGGGCCAGCGACACCAGCCCCTCCCACATGGGAATTCCAGCCTCAGCTGTGGCCTCTGGCTTTGCTTTAAATTTGGAAGCTGAAGTCACAGCAACCTGATCCCTGATTTCTTCTTGTATGTGGAGCATGGGCTCAGCCGGCTTTTGCTGAGTTCCCTGTAAATGGCATGCTCTGGGTCAACAGCTGGCCACTGGGCCATGGTTGGGGCTGGCAGCCACAGGACCCTGGGCTTAGAGTGGGCTGAGGAGCGATAATGCTTGCTGCCCATCCTCAGGCTTCGATGGGAGGAGGGCAGGAGAGTGGTGGGAGGGACAGGTGGGTCTCTGGGTACCCCCCACCTCCCTGCACTGCAGAACCAGAGAGGCATTGAAGTGGGAACCCACCGAAGTGGGTGAAGCAAAGAAAGAGCCCAGGTGTCCCCTAGGTACCCGATGCCATGCCATGACTGGAGACAGGGACTTGTGCGTTTGGCCTTGAGGTATCCAGCCCCCCCAGGTGGCCTCTGACCTCCCTCTCCTCCCAGATCCGTTGCATGCTCAATATCTGGGGTGTGATCCTCTACCTGCGGCTCCCCTGGATCACGGCCCAGGCGGGCATTGGTGAGTGCTGCCTCCAGGGGGAGGGGGAAAGTGTGCTCCAGGCCCCACAGGAGCAGCCTTGAACTTCAGCTGCACAGCCCACGGGCCCCTGCAGTGACAGAGGGCAGGGAAGTGTGGCTGAGGCTCACTGGACATGGAGTCAGCAGGTCTGGGGGCTCTCCCTGGCTGGGTCTGCCTTCAGTAAGTCACTTAAACTTTTGGAGCCAAATTTCTCCTGCAGAGCATCTGGGTTAGAAACTTGCACTGTGGACAGACCAGATGCTAGCTCTGTCCCATGCTGTGTGACCTTGGACAAGTTCTTAACCTCTCTGAGCCTTGGTTATCTCATCAGTAAAATGAAGACGATAACTGTCCCCACCTCACAGACCTATTGTGGGGTTCCTCTGTTGCACATAAAACAGCACAGGGTTTGGCACCCAGAGGTGCTCATAAAGTGCCAATGATTATTTTTTATCATTAAAGGAGGATACCTTCCCTTCCATACATAATGATCCTTTACATGTTGGCTCATCAGCTCCCTCAGAATATACCAGGAGGTAGACAGAGACCCATTTTTCAGATGAGAAAAAATGAGGCTCAAAGGAGGGAAGTGACTTAAGTCACCTCCTCACCCACTCCTACAGTCCTGACCTGGATCATCATCCTGCTCTCAGTCATGGTGACCTCCATCACCGGCCTCTCCATCTCGGCCATCTCCACCAATGGCAAGGTCAAGTCAGGTGGGCCCCACCACAGCACCCTATTGCTGGACCCCACCCCACTCCTAGGGTCCTCTTCTTGTAGGTCCCCCAGAATTTACCCCAGGAACAGGTCTCTGAACCCCTCCCAACCCCCAACCCCCCCCAAAAGGGGACACCCCAGGTTGCTCCTTCTGGTTCCAGACGTAGATTCTGGGCAGGCTCTCCATACCCATGGGATGGCCTCAGTTATCTCTGGTGCCGTGGAGCCCCTGGGGTCCATGCTCACCCTGTCCCAGCCTCAGCTGCTGCCTGCCCCAAGTGCACCCGGCCAGCTGACCCCTCTGGCTTCGTGGCTCCTGACTCTGCCCCCATAGGTGGTACCTACTTCCTCATCTCCCGGAGTCTTGGCCCAGAGCTTGGGGGTTCCATCGGCCTCATTTTTGCTTTCGCCAACGCTGTGGGTGTGGCCATGCACACTGTGGGCTTCGCAGAGACAGTGCGGGACCTGCTCCAGGTGAGGCATGGGTTGGACCCAGGCAGAAGGAGCCCAGGCAGCTGCTGCATTCTCCTCCACCCCATCTGGGCCAGGCCTTCCTGCCTCTCTGCCCAGTTGTGCCCATCATGGACCAAAGTTCTAGTCTGACCGCTGTGGGTGACCATGAAAATCTCATCAAATAAAGACTGTTCCCAGAAGTCCCCTACAGGGGTGTGTGTTGCTTTTAGGGCCAAATTGCCCAGGCCCATGGAGGGCCTGTTGACAGGGAAGGGGTTTGAGTTTGTGTTTTCCCATGAGTGGGCACCCATAAATGAGATGAATCAGGGTGGAGGGGTCTGCAGGGGTGGGGTGTTCGGGGGCAGCACGCAGCCTGGCCCATCCCCTCCCCTAGGAATATGGCTCACCCATCGTGGACCCCACCAATGACATCCGCATCATCGGCGTGGTCACCGTCACTGTGCTGCTGGCCATCTCCCTGGCTGGCATGGAGTGGGAGTCCAAGGTGAGGACAGGATGCTGGAGAGGGATGTGGGCATGGTCAAGTGCAGAAGCGGGAGTCATGGAACCTGGTCCCAGTCCTGGTTCTGCCTCTTGTATGTATTAGCTAGGCTTTAAGTTCTGCTGCTGTGACGGAGACCCTAAGGAAGGGAACCTTAATCTAGAGTCATTCGTTTCTCTCCCATGTAGCAGTCCAGGGAGACAGGCACCCAGGTGACTTTCAGCCTGTGGCCTCTCCTTCCTCGGGGTGTAGCCCTCACCCTCCTGGTCCGTGACGGCCCCCTCTGTGTGTCCCCAGCCCAGTCAGCAGGAAGTGGAAAGAGGGTGGAAAGGAGAGAGACCCCTTCCCCTTTCCTTTTCCAGCCCAGCCTGGAAATCTACATCCCATTGGCCAGAACGGGGCCCATAGCCACATCTTGCTGCAAGGATGGCTGGGGAAAAGTGGTCTTCATCTGCACCTGTCCCCTGCCCCAAATCAGAGGTTCAGCACCCTGTAACAAGGCCAGAAGAGATGTGGGGCTGCAGCTGGCAGGCTTGGCCGGCCCTGGCCCCTGCCACCTCTCCTCTCCCTCGCTCTGACCTCCAGTTCTGTCGCCTCCTCACAGTTCCTTGAGTGCACCAAGCTTATGCCCTCTTCGTTCTGCTGCTCTCTCGCCCTGTTCCTTGAAGACCCTTGAAGACACCTTCCCAGGCCACACTGCTATAGTAGCCCCAAGCCAGTCCCCATGACACCCCTTTTTCTCGCTCCAGATTCATCTTCTTGGTTTATAAGCAAGACAAGAGACTTACTATAGCACCAGCTCCTAGCTCAGAGCCTGTGGCATGATGGGTGTGGAATGAATGAATGGACAGATGGGATAGTGAGGGACCTGTGGCAAGTTCTTCCTGGCTGAGGCTCCCTGAACAGGCGGGCCCAGACCATCTGACCTCTAGGGTCCTTTACCCCCAGGCCCAGGTGCTCTTCTTCCTCGTCATCATGGTCTCTTTTGCCAACTACCTGGTGGGGACGCTGATCCCCCCATCCGAGGACAAGGCCTCCAAAGGCTTCTTCAGCTACCGGGGTACGTGCGGGGGGGCCCCTGCCCATGGCTCCAGGGACAGGGAGAGTCTGCCCACAAACCAGCTCATTCTGTGGGCACTGGGAGGATGGCACCCCAACTCCCATAGCCAGGAGCTGCCAGTGGAGCCTCCTCCCTGCCCGGCTGGCCCAGTGAAGGGGGCCAGGCCGTCCAGGCAGCCCTGACTCAGGCCTTGCTTTTCCAGGGGACATTTTTGTCCAGAACCTGGTGCCTGACTGGCGGGGCATGGATGGCAGCTTCTTTGGGATGTTCTCCATCTTCTTCCCTTCAGCCACGGGCATCCTGGCAGGAGCCAACATCTCCGGGGACCTCAAGGTGAGCAGGACGCCCATCCCTCCCACTTCCTGGCCCTCCTACGAGGATGTCCCTCTGGGCACTGACCTTGACACTGAGACCCCAGGGCCAGAGCGTCTAAAACCCAGTTCAGCTCAGCTCAATCCAAGCCAACCCAAATCCATCCCACTTGTCCCCCTCAATTCTGAGGTTGTTGATTGGCACCACTTCACTCTAGCCCTTGAGGACCACCCCAGAATGGGCTAGTCTCTTCCCTTGTCCCTGGGACTCTTAGCCTAAGGGGAAGACTGACCCAGCTTGAGCTTCCAAAACTCTGACAGGATCATGCACACATTCCCAGGGCTCTTCGCTACCTTGATGAGGGCAGGCTCCTTGGCTCAGTATTTAAGGCCCCAGCCCACTGTCGCCACTTCCATGACCCTGGTCCCTGGCCCGAGGATCTTCTGCTTTGCCCCCATTGCCCTGTCCCTCCTCCACGCCTTTGCCTCTGCTGTGCTCTCTACCTGGGGCTTCCTATCCTCATTTCTTTACCTTGAAAAGTTCTGTTCCTCTTGCAAATTAACATCTCCATCCGTCCATCTCTCCCAGCCCTTTTGTCAGAGTCATGGGTCCCCTAGTATAGTGATGTCAAGCCACTTATGTCTCTGTCCTCCCACATCTGGAGAATTGGGGCCTACCTCTGTGTCCCCATTCCCAGCTAGGAGTCTGACACATACCAGGTGCTTGGTGCCTATTTGTTGAGTGTATCGTGGTGAGATGTGGCAAATGGGAAGTGTGAGAGCAGAAGTACAAAGTGCGGTAAAGTTGGGGGAAGCACAGACTGATGTTGGCAGGTGCTGCAGCAAAACTTCTGAGTGGAGGCTGGGCTGGAGCTGAGCTCTGAAAGACGAGAAAGTCGGTGGAGTCTTTGCCAGTAGGAGGTTATGAAAGCAGATGGTACACAAGTGAGGATGAATGGTGAGGAAACTGGCTCTGTACTGGGAACCCTTAACCTCCATCTCCAGTCCTACTTGAAAGGTGCTCCTTGGTGCATTTTCTTAAATGAATTAAGAATTGTGCACTGGCAGCCATCTCGAACCCCAGCCAGGCTCTAACTGGGTAACCCCCTGGGTGGTGCACAGTGGGGCCTAGAAATCAGAGAGGGCCGTGTCTGCCAGCTTTTCTCTCTTCTCTGGGGTGCAGCCAGCAGGGGCCTGTTCTACCTGCCCTGAGGTCCCTGTAGAGCTGAGGCTTCTGCTCAGATGGCCGAGTTCCCCTCCCGGCCCAGTTATGGATCATCATAGCCTAGGGATTTATCTAGACACTTTATCACATTCTTAGGTTACCGATAGGCCCAGTGAGCAGGCGTCAGGGCCGGGCAGCTGTCTCAGAGCTGGGCAATGGGGGGGGGGGGGGACCTTCTGTCCTAAATGCCCTCAAGTCCTAAAGGGGCCCTTTCCTCCTGGATCTGGCCCCTTGCCTGTCCCGTGAAACAGTATATCCTCAGTGGAAGAGCAGCTCCTGTTCATATGGACTTTATGCAAGTCCCTTTAAAACTCTCTTGGCGTCAGCTTCCCCAGCTGTAAAATGGGACACACAGAGCCCCTGCTTCACAGGATAAGGAGTGAGTGAACATTCAGCATGCTAATCTACATAAAGTGCTTAGAACAGTGCCCAGCACAGAGGACGTGCTAAGGGCTGGTTGTCAAAAGTTGATGTCATTTTTACCACATGGCCGGCACAGTGCCTCCTTCTTTATAAACATTATCTGCAGGGCAGAGAAGTGGGGAGAGAACCCCTGGGTTGGGGGCAGGGAAGCACCCTGAGAATTGGGTGAGTCTGAGGCCGTAGACCGTGTGTAGTTGGGACCGAGCCACCTCAGGCTCGGCGAGCTGGGCCCTCCTTACAGCTCCCTGGCTGGTGGGGGCGCCCCAGCCACTTCTCAGGAAGCTATGTTTGAGGAAGTACGTGGAAGAATGAAACACATGAGTGGGTGTGAAGGTCTGCTATTACTGCTAGGAAAACACCAGCAGAGTTCTTTCTCAGATAGGAAGGAGCGAGTTTGGGGCTTGTCTATATATTTATTGCTGTAGAACAGGACAAATCAACTCATACAAAACAGTGATTATAGGCAGCAAGCCCAGGCAATGAGCTAGGCCCTGGTCTAGAAGCTTGGCAAGGATTAATTTGTTTCACCAGCATCCCTGTGAGGCTGGAGGGGCCAAGGTGTGGCAGGACATGCACACTGCCCAGCGATTACCTGGAATTGCCCCCAGGAAGGCTAAATTGGGAGCCCTCCACCCTCACACCACCCTTCACTGCCGCCCTGGCAAGCATTGGCCAAGGGTCCTCGAGGACCAGGCCGGGGCTGCTCAGAGCTCCTCTCCCTGCCTCAGGTTCCCAGGGCCTTGGATGTGGTCTCAGCTGTCACCTTGGTTGTGTCCCGACTTCCTCTGCGGGTCCTCAATCTCGAGGTTCCTTCCTCTCAGCGCCCCCTGAGAGAGGGGCTCTGAGGGGCCAAGGTCAGGGGTTGCTGCCCCACCCCCAGAGTGACGAGGGCAGGGCCTGAGAGGAGTCCTGCCCTGATGTCCTGTCTCCCTCCTTCCTCCAGGACCCTGCTGTAGCCATCCCCAAGGGAACGCTCATGGCCATTTTCTGGACCACTGTCTCCTATCTGGCCATCTCGGCCACCATCGGTAAGCAGCCGGCCCAAACTGCTGGTGGGGCGTGGGGGGCATAACAGGGTGCAGCTCAGCTGTCTAACAGGGAGAGCTGGGCTCTGAGAACATGGCAACTCCAGGAAGTGGAGCTTCAAACTTTATTCTGGGGGGCACCTTGGTAGCAATCAGAACATCTTCATAGGGGTATAGTTTGTGGTGGAGATGGGAGTGGGTCAGACCAGGTTCCTCTAGTCCCTTCATACCTCAGGTTACAGATTCAAGGGTGTGAAAATCCTATGGGAAAAATCATGCTCCAACTCTATGAATAATAATAAAAACAATGATGAGGAAGAAGAGGAAGATGATTCTAGCAACTGATTTATTACCACGTACCCAGCCCTTTACGTGCCTTATTACATTTAATATGGGCACTGTCATTTCTGCCATTTGACAGAGGAGAAACCAAGGGCCCAGAGAGGTTAAGTGACCTGCCCAAAGTCACACAGCCTGAGTGGCAGAGCTGGGCTTTGGACCCAGGCCTGGGCTGTTGACACTTGCCTCTCACTGAGCTCCTCACACATGCTCTTGCTCCTAGTAATTACCTTGTGAGATGAGCTGCTCACAGATGGCCAAGGGACATGGGTCAGGTTGCAGCCGCTCAGGGTCTGGGACCTGGGATTCCTCTTTAAGGAGGACATTATGACCTTAGACAGGTTACTTTAGCTCCCTGACCCTCTGCAGAATGGTGATGACAGCAAAAGTAATAGTAATATTTGCTTCCCAGGAGTGTTGAAGTACTTAACACAGGGCGTGGCTCATCCGAAACGCTCCTGCATGGTAGCTACTCTCCCTGTGGTTATTATCGATAGCGTTGCTATTATTACTACAAAGGAAAGAAAGATCTGGCCCATCAGCAGCATCTTGCCCTCTGCAGAGGTGGTCAGCATTTTCCGGGTGGGAGTGGGGCAGAGAAGAGGGGAGGAAGACCTCCCCACGCCCTCCTGCCTCCTCAGGTGCCTGTGTGGTTCGCGACGCCTCCGGGGTCCTGAATGACACAGTGACTCCTGGCTCGGGGGCCTGCGAGGGGCTGGCCTGTGGCTATGGCTGGAACTTTACCGAGTGCACCCAGCACCACAGCTGCCGCTATGGCCTCATCAACTACTACCAGGTACGCGCGGCCCCTTCCAGGAAGTCAGCCCCCGCAGGGCGTGCCAGGTGGAGGCTGGGACAGTCTGGGGTGCACAGGGTCTGGGGGTCTGGCTTGAGGCTTGGGGACAGAGGTTCAGGTAAAGGTCCCTAGGCTCAGTTCCTGCCCCCATGGGCACTGGGTGCCCAGTAAGGGTTGCAGACACAGGTGGGAGCTTCCAGACCCAGCTCTGGCCTGCAGGGGGCACTCCCAGTAGGGGTTCCGGGTCCAGCCCCCCACTATGGGACCCTGAACCCCATGTCTTTGCAGACCATGAGCATGGTGTCAGGCTTTGCACCCCTGATCACCGCCGGCATCTTTGGGGCCACCCTCTCCTCAGCCCTGGCCTGTCTCGTCTCTGCCGCCAAAGTCTTCCAGGTGAGGGGGTGGGGAGGGTCTAGGAGGCTCAGGTGACTGCTACGAAGGCCTGGAGATGTCATGTGACCCAGCGTCTAGACTGAAGGAAAAGGAGCTGGTAAAGCCAGCTCTTGCAGGAAGCAGCCCCCTTCCTGCGGTGAGCTGTGAAGAGCACCCACATTTCCTGCCCCACACGTTCCCTGTGCAGCATCCTGTCTGCAACCTACCCTCCCAGTTTCACTCCAATGCGCTCGGTCCCCCTCATTTTCACCCTTTTGCTGTCTCCATGGTGAGGTGGGGAGGGCAGGCGATTATGCCCATTTCACAGGGACAGAAGCCAGGACCCAGATCAGGATGTGCCCTGCTGAGGTCACAGAGAGAGCAAGGAGGGGCTGGGGTCCAGGTGGCCACAGGGGGAGGGGATGGAGCAGGTCCTGGCTAGGGATGAGCGAGGCGTCCTGTGCCCCCAGTGCCTGTGTTTGGACCAGCTATACCCGCTGATCGGCTTCTTCGGCAAAGGCTACGGCAAGAACAAGGAGCCAGTGCGCAGCTACCTGCTGGCCTACGCCATCGCTGTAGCCTTCATCATCATCGGTGAGAGGCCGCAGGGCACCCAGGGCCGCACTATTCCTGGTGAGGGCCACGGGTCAGAACTCTACCCACTATTCCTGGCTCTGCATTCCTATGTCCTGGAGCTCAGACCTCCCTCCCCAGGTCTGAATGAGCCCCCAGGACACATTTGGAGCAAAGGACAAGCTGACTGACTCCTCCTCAGGAACTGATACAAACAACTGGATCACTATCTCTGTAGGTGTAGAAACTAGCCCAACACATTTCTCAGATCTTGAGCTGCTAGAAGCCTTGGGTTCCAAGGAAGGGGATGCCCTGGGAGAAAGATTCCAGTTAATCAGTTAGTGACTGACTGCCAGTTGTGTGCCTTGGGAAAAATTACTTCACTACCCAGAGCCTCGATTTCCTCATCTGCAAAATGGGAGCAGTAGTGCACAGAGGGTGTGTCCCCAGTGGGCAGGAAGAGAACACGTATGTATGCACACATATGCACACATTCACATACACACACTCATGTGTGCACACACCCCAGTTCTTTCTGATTTACTTAGCCAATGAGGCAGAACTTGCTAGGAGAGAGGTGGCCACACCAAGCAAGGGTAGTGGCTGTGCCTTGGCACGATGACCCCTCGCTCCTGCTCTCTGTGCAGGAATGGGGCTGGGATCAGCTGCTGGTGAACCTCCCCAGGCTGCGAGACAGCTTCCTCCCCATCACCAACACCCATGAGGCTTACCCTACTGGTCTAGTCATTTCCACTCAAGTGCACCTTTCTGGACACTGGGTACCCCTGGATCCTGCACCAGATGAAGAGGCAGCAGGACCACCCCCAGGGGATGGAAATGCCTAGTGAGACCTGGTGCTCCTGGATGTTCCCTGTTCGCCCTGCAGTCCACCCCTGACTCGGATTTAATGTCCTTTTTACCTGGTTCTGACTGGGCTTCAGACAGAGAATCATGATCCTAGGTGCCCTGGGGCAGGGTTCTTGTGGGGGTTCAACTGACTCACGTACAGAAGGCCCGGCACATAAGAGGTGCTCGTCTTGCTTTGGGATCCCGCAGAAGTGGGCCCAGAGACAAGGATTCATGTGCAAAAGTGTGTCTGGGGGTGCTGGGGTTGCAGCAGAGCAGGGGGCCTGTGAGAAAGTCAGGGGCCTGTGACAGCAGGTTTCAACTGCTGATAAAACCATGATACAGTCTCAAGGTTTCAGATAACAAATGACCTGTGTTTTAGGTCACATTGTGAAACACATTTCTTGTGATTTGTGGCAGCCCACCGTCTTTGGTCATCCCGTAGCCTGGCAGGGTCTACTCTCATGCTGCTTTCTGTCCTCTTAAAAGCCGGCAGTTTACAGTTTACAAAACAAAAGCCTTTGAGAGTATAAAATGATGGCCCCACATCACAGATGAGAATGTTGAGACTCACTGAGCCTTGTTGGCTTGTCTGGGGTCCCCTTACCCTGTGAGGGAGGGTACCAGGGGCTCCTTGGTGGAGTTGCCCAACAGAGTATCTCCTCTCTCCCCTGGGTCCCTGAAGCTGAGCTCAACACCATCGCCCCCATCATCTCCAACTTCTTCCTGTGCTCCTACGCCCTCATCAACTTCAGCTGCTTCCATGCCTCCATCACCAACTCACCTGGTAAGCTAGCCCCTCACCCCTCCACGGGAGAAGGCAGCCGGGGCTGGGATATGGAGGAGGGAGTGGAAGCATGGATGCAGGTGGGCAGCCCAAGGTCACCTCTCAAACTGACATCAGTTAAAGGGACCATTCATATCATAATCATAGTAATAACAGCAATCCTTTATCCAGCACTTACAGTGTATACTGTATGTGGATTCATACAGTTTACGGTGTGCCGAGACTTTTCTAGTGCCTTTTACATGAGTCAGGAGCCTGACTCCCCAGAGAGGGAAGAGAATCACCAAAGTCACAGATAGGGCGGCTGCAGGTTTCACATTGCACAACTCCAGGGGGCCCCACTCATAGATGTCATAGATTTGTATGTTTATTATGAAAAATTTCTGGCAGATGGCAGTGAAGAGTTTGAGGAAGACTTTTTCTAATTAGCCCAAAACGCCATGGGCTTGTCCCCAGGCCTCCTTTTCCCTAGACCATGGGCCACGGTGCCTTGGAGTTGTGCCGTGGGGTGGCTCTGGCATGACCCGCATGTGTAGAGTCAGGCAGAATCATGTCCTTCCCGTCCATCTCACCCACTCGGTCCCATGCAAGCCACAGAAGCCAGTGCTGCTGCTGACGTCAGACGTCCTGCGGCCGTATTTGGCAGGAGCTGGACGCCTCCTCCGTGGTGCGGCCTGTTTACATGGCAGAATGCCAGCCAAGGCAGGCGTGTGGCCCTACTGGAGTTGGGGGCACAGGCTGGGACCCCAGCCCTGGGCACTAAGGGCCTTGTCACCCAGACCCTGCCTGGCTGCACTGGCCCAGGAGGAAGCTCCAGAATGCTGAGCATATCCACTGACCTGTGCCCTCCGTCCAGGGTGGAGACCCTCGTTCCGATACTACAGCAAGTGGGCAGCACTGTTTGGAGCGGTCATCTCTGTGGTCATCATGTTCCTTCTCACCTGGTGGGCGGCCCTCATTGCCATCGGCGTCGTCCTCTTCCTCCTGCTCTACGTGATTTACAAGAAGCCAGGTTTGCGGTCTCAGGCTGCCGAGGGGGTCAGGCGCCCCTTCTCTCCCTGAGGCTGTCAAGCTGTCCTGCCCATCAGCTCAGCTAGAGGGCCTGCACCAGGCTCTGTGCTCTCCAGGGCCCCGCTCTGACCCTCCAGCCTCATCCCTCCCGCAGGGTCAGGAGTCCGTGGGAATGTGTTCACTCAGAACCCACACCTCCGCTTCTAGACCACCTTCCAGACACCCAGGACCCTGGAATTGCCTGCCCAGGTCCCTCCTCCTGAGTGTGGCCAGCCCACTGGTATGCACACCAGACCAAGGGCTGCCTGACTGAAGAGCAGGCGGACAAAGCTTGGACACATGGGCAGGAGTGTCTCCATGCACGTAGGCAAGGATCCCAGGGGTGACAGCAGTCAGGAGGTGGGATGCAGAACGTCAGGAAAGCCTAGAATTCTAAACTTTGACCTGGCCTTCCAGATCATTGTGGAGGTCTGTTTGTTTGTCAAGGGAGGAGAATATTTTGTACAGTTCAATAACTCAATTTGTAACCTTTAAATGTGTAGCCATATTGTATGTGCAAAGGTTAGGAACAGATCTGTAGGCTGTCTACCTGATCCTATGGGTGCCTGGTTCCTAAAGAAGGCCAACATTCCCTCCTTTCTGTGTGTCTGGTTTCTCTCGAGACCTCTAATCTTGCACTCCCCCCACCCTCAGAGGTGAACTGGGGCTCCTCGGTACAGGCCGGCTCCTACAACCTGGCCCTGAGCTACTCAGTGGGTCTCAATGAGGTGGAGGACCACATCAAGAACTACCGGTGAGTGCGAGCAGCCTTGGGGCTGCCTGGGACGCAGGGCTGCCCTGACCCTGCTCTGGGAGCTCCAGTCCAAGACCTGTCACCTGACCAGCAGACCCCCCTCTCAGAGAGGAAACGGGTGGAGGAGCACTGCCCAGCAGTCAGGAGACCAGAGTTGAGATTGCCTGTGGGGACCAAGCAAGTCTAGGAACCTCTCTGTACCTCGGTTTCCACAGGGGAACATGCTCTTCAAAATGCGAGGGGCAAAATAGTCATCTCTCGGTATCTGCGGGGGATTGGTTCCGGCTTCCCATCTCCCCACCCCTCCACCACCCCGCTTAAATACCAACATCTGCGGACGCCAAAGTCTCTTGTATAAAAAGGCCTAGTACCTTGGTCTTCGGTATCCATGGTTCCACATGCAAAGATTCAACCAATTGGAGGAAAATTGTTTGCCCAGGACCCCCTTCCCACCGGATCATAATGTTAATAATTGGCTGTTTCTATTTATGTTGCATCACTGCAAAGTGCCTTATGTAGCCTCACCACAACCTTCTGAGGTGTATGAAATTACTAACCCCGTTTACAGATGAGAACACTGAGACACAAAGAAGTTAAGTAACTGGCCCCAGGTCACACAGCTGGTGAGTGGCCAAATTTGTCTGGCCCCAGCTGAGTCTGGTATTGGCCCTTAACCACACCCCTCTCTGCCTCTCCACCCAGAGGCTGACTCACCCAGCCAGGTGACACAGTGATCTCGTAAGCAGTCTTTCTTCTTTTCACACCATGCTGGAGGCTGGCCAGAGCAGGACTACCAGTTGGAGCAGCAAGAGTGTGATTTGCCCAAGTGGAGCACTTGGTGGCCTGAGCAGGAAGGGTGAGGGACACCCAGTGTGGTGACCACCAAGAGAGTTGGAAGGTCCCCAAAAGTTGCCCTGGAGTCACAGATGGGAAGATAAGGCCACAGGGTGGTTCACTTGTCTAGAAAGGGAGTCCTGGGAGGTGGCAGAACTCCCGGGGTGCCTGTACTATGCATCCAGACCCCAGGCTCTGTCCTGATGGCTCATGCCCTTTTCCCTTCCCTTCCTCAGCCCTCAATGCCTGGTGCTCACGGGGCCCCCCAACTTCCGCCCAGCCCTGGTGGACTTTGTGGGTACCTTCACCCGAAACCTCAGCCTGATGATCTGTGGCCACGTGCTCATTGTGAGTGCCCCCTGCAGGTGGGGCGGGGCTGTGCTCCTGGAGGAGCCTCTCGTCCACTGAGGGTGGGAGGAGGAGCAGAGGAGCGGGGATGGGGATGGGGGTTCTCTCTCCTTCCCTGTCCCTATCACTGGCTTCTCCCTGCTGCCCTGCCTCCCATCGGCTCCATCCATCTTCCTTCCACCCCTTTCCTCCTCCTCTTCTTTCCCTCCCCTAATTCTGTAAAAGAAAACCAGCACCTCTGGGTGCTGCTGAGCCCAGGGGACAGCTTCTAGGGCAGGAGAGGGGCTACATCTCTGATGTCACCTGCCCCCACGACCTGCAGGGACCCCGCAAACAGAGGATGCCTGAGCTCCAGCTCATCGCCAACGGGCATACCAGGTGGCTGAACAAGAGGAAGATCAAGGCCTTCTACTCCGACGTCATTGCCGAGGACCTCCGCAGTGGTGTCCAGATTCTCATGCAGGTGGGCCTGGGGCTTCCCCCCAGGACTTATTACTTGGTGCAATAATCTGGAAGGTAGGATGCCCTGAAGGGCTAGTTGAAGCCCCTTTGGCTGCAACTGGAGTCCCACCTTTCGTGCCTCTCCAGAGGTGCTGATTCAGGGCACTTTCTCCAAGTGCCCAGGACCAAGGGAAACTGACTTGGAGGCCTGTGGAAACTGAATGACATATCTCTTTTTTATTGTTTTTTTTAAGATATAATTTACAGACAGCAAAGTGAAATAGTGTATAATTTGATAAATGTTTACATAACCACTGCTCAGATCAAGTTCTAGAACATTCCACTGGACAACTCATTTTACTGCTAGATTTCCCCATCTGTAAAATGGGATGCATGGGGAAATAACAGTTGTTAATTCTGAGCCAACATAGGGAAATCCTTCTCAACAGTTTTCAGTATTTCTCAAAATTAAAAAGAAAAAGTGTATGAGGTCTTCTTTTTGGATTATAAAAGTATTTTGGGTGTAGATCGAGGTGATGGTTGTACAACATTGTAAATGTATTAAATGCCACTGAATTATACACTTTAACATGGTTAACTTTGTTATGTAAATTTCACATCAAAATTTAGAAAAACATTTTAAACATTGAAGAAAAGTGAAATAGAAAAGATGTATGGATTAGATGACCCAAGAATACTCCAAACTTGACATCCAAATTCAAGTCCCTTGTTACAAGAAATAATGTACCAGAGAAGCAGGAGCTGGGATGATCCCAGGACTGGGATGTGAGAGTCCAGCCATTGGCCTCGCTGTGGAGAGGCCACAGGGGATAACTTGCTGGAGCTTCACCTTTCTTGTGGGTGTATCCAGGTAGACGGGACCCTGAACTGGGGGATGTATTTCCTGAGCCCCCAGCACATGTGGAGAGGCCAGGTGGGGCTGAGTCAGAGCCCCACCTTAGTCACAGAACAGAGCCCCTGTGGGCACACAGCCTGACCCTTCACCTCACCCCCACCCCCTGGCAGGCCGCAGGTATAGGGAGAATGAAGCCCAACATCCTGGTGGTCGGATTCAAGAAGAACTGGCAGTCAGCTCACCCGGCCACAGTGGAAGACTACATCGGCATTCTGCAGTGAGTGAGGGCGTGAGGGAGGCAGGGCCTGGGGTCTCCCTGTTTGGGCCTTTGGAGTTTTCCAGTCCTTGGGAAATAAAGAGGAAGCAATACTATAAGACGCTGAGTCCACTGGCCCAAAGCTGAGGAAGAGACAGACAGACTAAGGGTTCCCCACTCTGACCTATGAGTCATAGACACCAAGATGGGCAGGGAGCAAGCAGGTAACACAGTGAAGTGGGCCAAATGGGACATTAGGGAGCAGTGGGGGATTGTGGCAAACTAAAGAGAACAGCCGTTACTTGGCTCCAGCCAGTTGTGTCCAGGCAGAAATGTGGGCACAGTGTTGCCAGATCTTCCAGTTTTTCAGGGAAATTGAAATTGTGAGTTTTTATGTGAAAACTGAGCCAGAATTGAAACCAGGCCTCCAAGGAAGTGACATGCTTAGGGAATAGGACTGAGAGATAAACTACCTGAGGATTTCAGGGTTAACTCCAAACCCTTTCTCCTTCAGCTCTTGCTGGGCAAGTTCCAGAGAATGCCTGCCTGAGTTGCTTTTCTGAGTTGATGTAGTAGAGAGAGGCAGTGTGCAAGAGCATTTAAAGAACATGAGGCTGAGTGTTGGCGACCCGGGACTTGCTTCCTGGTCTGCTGTGAATCAGCTGTATGACTCTGAGCAGTGCACCTCAGCTGCCTCCAGCAAAATTACAACAGGAGGTGGTGGATACCTGCCCTCCAGAACCCTCCAGCTTCAACTTTCCAAAACTCCAAATTGCTGGAGCCAGAGATGTGTAATTAATGAGCCCAGAGAGGGCAATGCTTAGCCTATTAGATCAAGCCCTAATGGTGAGCTCTTTTGTCAACCAGGCAGTAAAGAGTCTTCTAGACATTCCACAGAGGTAACCTATCGCTGCCTTCATGAGCGAGGACGTTCCTGTGTGCATTCCTGTCCTCAGGGTTTCCAGTCTCAGCTATTTAATTCTAATCCCAGCCAACCAGTTCCTTAATGTGTGATCACGGGCAAGTTACTCCTTAAAACTCAGGTTTTGCTTCTGTCCAGTGGGGATAAAATTCCCATCCCTACTTCTGTTGGCAGAGCTGTGAGGATTATCCAAATGGGTCAGGAGGACAGGGCCTGACTCCAAGTCTGGCCCGACCCGGTTTCCCCCAAGTACAGGGGAAATCTACACTCCACCTTCTTAACACCCCTGTCAAAATCAGAACAGGATCCCAGGAAGCTCTAGAACCCATTTTTTTAAAGTCGTGGATGGAAGAGAGGGGGAAATTAGTAAGGAATAAAAGGTCACAGACTCTCAGAAAGTCAGCTTTTGATGGTCCTGTAGAATTTATCAGGTTTCTAAATGGAGAAACTGAGGTCCAGAAAGGGGATGGGACCAATTCAGGGTCACACTTCTAGCTGGGGGCAGAACCGGGACTAGGATCCTTAGTGCCACAGACTGTAGAGCTAGAGAGGTCTTGGGGGACCCTCCAGTTCTGCCTGCACATTAGACAGATGGGGAGACTGAGGTCCAGAGGGGAGGAAGGCTATGGTGGGAGGCAGGGCCAACTCTAGACATCTGGCCCCCCTAGGGCTGGGGGCTCGGGGCTGGGCCTGGGAGGAGGCTGACCCCACCTCCTCTCTTCCCAGTGATGCTTTTGATTTCAACTATGGTGTGTGTGTCATGAGGATGCGTGAGGGGCTTAACATCTCCAAGGTGATGCAGGCGCACAGTGAGTACACAGCCCACCTTCTTGGCACCCCTGTCAAAATCAGAACAGGATCCCAGCAAGTTCTAGAACCCAGTTCTTCAGTTCTTTTTTAAGTTGTGGATGAAAGAGGGGGGGAAATTAGTAAGGAATAAAAGGTCACAGACTCCTGGAAAGTCAGCTTTTTATGATCCTGTAGAACTCATCAGATTTCTAAAGGGAGAAACTGAGGTCCAGAAAGGGGACATGACCTGTTGAAGCCGAGTCCGCTTCTAGCTGAGAGCCAACTGGGACTAGAACTCAGAGTTCCCCAAATCACGAGTGCTTTTGTAACCAGGTGGGATAAAGACAGACAGGAAAAAGGAAAAGAGGGGCAAGACAGGGCCACATTAAGACACCAGAGGAGTAGTTCCTCAGAGCGATCTGAGAGGCTGTCATCCCAGCTCGAGTCCTTCAGCTGAATAAAACGAAACTCTCAAAAAAAAAAAAAAAAAGACACCGGAGTATGAAAACACACACAGAAGAACCTTGAAAACTGGGCATTTTGGTCTCCAAGACCATGTTTGGGGCACTGAGTAGGAATGTGTTTTACGTGTCTGAATTAGTAATTTTCAGAGGTGCAAAAGAAATAACATATACGAAGACAAACAGGGGGCTTGTGCAGAGGGAGTGGAGAGCTATGGACCCTGCAGGCAAGCCTCAGTCTTGTTCATCTGGGTCATGGAGGGCCAAGGGCATACCTGGCACCCCGCAGCAGTTCAACAAACATTTATGCAACCAGAGTTCACACAGCAGCAACCACACTCCTGACAGAGGCTGTTCTAGGTGCTGTGAGTGCAGCAGGGAACAAAACAGTCTGTCCATGGGGAGCTGACATTCTGGGGGGAAACGCGTGGACCCAAGAGTCATTTCAGGCAGTGACAGCTGAGGTATCCTGAGGAAGCCAACGCGGCATGTGGGCAGGAGGGCTTCTCTGAGGAAGGGGGCTGACTGCTAGAAGGGGAGGGCTGGGGAAAGAGTGCTCCCAGCTCAGGGACCACCCACCACCCCACCCACCACTGGGGGAGGAGGGTGGCCTGTCTGAGCAGCAGAGGAAGCTGGTGGGGTGGAGCATGAAGATAGGCAGGGGCCAGACCAGTGGAAGCAGAAGCGGAGGAGTCAGGATTTGTCTCCCTAGGGTAAGGGAGGCCCCCAGGAAGAGCCCCAGGCAGGAGAGCCAGGGAACAAAGCCCGCCCTCTTTTGCAGTTAACCCTGTATTTGACCCAGCGGAGGACGGCAAGGAAGCCAGCACCGGCAGGGTCAGGTCATCTGTCTCTGGCACATGTCAGTCCCACCCCACTTGGAGGCTCAGGGTGCTCTCAACGTGGGGGGCAGCTAGTGGTGGGCTACGGGAAACTTGGTCAAAGGCAGGAGGTTTTTGCTTGTGACAGTGGTGCCTGAGCCCCATGGGATTGGGTAACAGGGAGTGGGGTGGGGGGAGGGGCAGCATAAAGATTGCCAGCCTTGCTGGAGAATTCAGTGTCCAGGCATCATAGGACCCTACCCAGTGGGTGCTGGGGCCCAAGTCTCACCCTCTCCAAGGCCCTTCTGGCCATACTCAAAAGAGGGGCGGGGGGGCAGCAATGCTCTGGAAGTGCAGGAGCTGGGTGCATTTATGAGGAGCACAGAGGAGTTTTTAAAAGAATGGCCCTCACCCCCCAGTGCCAACCAGAATCCCAGGAGAGAGAAGCTGGGAGCAGGGGAGGGGCGCCTGTCATCACTGCATGTCCTGGGAGTCTCAGTATTAGGAGGGCCTGTTGGTGGTGCTCCGGGCCAGTCCCTCAATGCACACCCACAGCAGGGTGCTTCTAGCCACTGTTTGCACAGCCAGGGTGACGGTTAGCCCACCTCCCAGGGCAGCTCATTCTGTTTTCAGATAGACTCAGGCTTTTAAATGTGCTCTGCTCCGATGTGACCTGCCCCTCTGCTCCTGCAGTGGATCCCGAGGCCCTGGTGCGGGAGGAGCAGGCCAGCACCATCTTCCAATCAGAGCAGGGCAAGAAGACCATTGACATCTACTGGCTGTTCGATGATGGAGGTCAGCCAGCGCCACTGGCTCCCCCACCCTCCCAAACCCCACCCCACCCCACCCCAACCTCCCCACCCCCACCCCCCGCCAGCTTCCCTCCATGACCCTGCTCTCTGGTTGCCCTTCCTGATCACTCTTAGCAAGGCCTCCAGTGGGACCTCAGAGCCCAGCAAAGGGGAATAGGGGACCCCGGGCCCATCACTGGGCTCAAGGGAGCCTGGCTGTACCCCTGTTTTTCAACTATAAAATGGGGGGCTTTTTAGGAGCATCTGAGGTCAACATGAGATGGAACCTTCACACTGGAAAGGCTTTCAGGGTCACAGGCACAGGACGTAAATGAGAGATGGGCTGGTACACAGGAAAGCTGGAGGACATTCACCTCCTCAAGAAAAACACCTCTCCCAGTTTTTTTAAAAAACTTATGGCTCTCAGCCTTATCATTCCCACCTGGATAGGGTCCTAGACTGAAAATGTTCTGCTCCAGTGAGATATAGCCTATTAATAGAGATACTATAGACTGAGCACTTACTATATGCTTGACCTTAAGTGTTTACATGGGTTAACCTAATGCAATCCCTAGGTAGGAACTGTTATTAAACTGAGGCACAGAGTGGTGAAGTCATTTTTGGGTTACACAGTGAGCAGTGACAGCAATCTAGATTTCTATGTGAAGTCCCCCAGTCATTTAATACCAGATCACTTATTTAAAAGCATCATGCAGGTCAAATAAACCCCAGGCTACAGAGCCCCTATGTCACTCTGGTTTAGTCCGGCACACTCATTATAGAGGTGGGTAAGCTGAGGTCCAGAGAGGGGAAGGCATTTGCTAGTGGCAGAGTGGAGCGGGAACCCAGAGAGGGCTGTATCCTGAAAGCATTTTCCTCTTGACTCCTGGGACCCTCCTTGCCAGGCCTCACCCTCCTCATCCCGTATCTCCTCGGTCGCAAGAAGAGATGGAGCAAATGCAAGATCCGCGTGTTCGTGGGAGGCCAGATCAACAGGATGGACCAGGAGAGAAAGGCGTAAGTGGGAGCTCAAAGGCGGGTCACATGGGACCAGAGCCATCCCAGCATTTCCCCAGTGTGCCCACCTGCCCCCACGCTCCCCTCCACTGCCCTAGGGCTTACCTCTCTCAGGTCACAGCAGTGGTGAAACTCCTTTTCAGAAGTTGTTCTGGTGCCCGGTCCCCCTTGAATAAGATGCATGTGCACTCGTCCCAGTCATGACAGGGAGGGCTGTTAAAACTCAAAACCACACATCTCAAGGAGAGAAACCTATGTGAAATGAAGGCTAGAGAAGGGCCCTCCTTCTCAGAAATGACATAGAACTCAGAAACCTTCAGGGCAATGTCCCCCCAAGCTTGGGGTGCTGTCCCTGGTGAGACCAGAGGTGGCTTTAGTGACCAGGAGTGACTTTTAACTCCAATTCGGTGGCTGATTCTCTGTTTGGGAACTTATGCTCATCTCACTGCCTAAACAAGAGAGGGCAGGCCTGGCATCCGACCAGAATTTAGTGACATTGGTTTACTGACTTTTTTTTTTAATGGAGGTTTGAACCCAGGATCTCGTGCATGCTAATCATGGGCTCTACCACAGATCTATACCTGCCACCCCTACTACCGATTTTGCTTTATTGGTCACATCTTTCTGGCAAGAGATGCTGGTTTTCTGTTTAAACTGTGATATGACAGTTCCTTTCAAGATGTATCTAAGTAAGAATGTGCGCTGATTTAAGCTGAGAAGGAGGTAAATAGTAAGGCAGTTACATGGGTGTGGAGGTGGCCAGAGTCGGGCAGGTGGCACATGTGTGCCTAGACTTGGGCCACCTGCTGCTTCAGAGCAAGGTCAAGTGAGGTTGAAGGTCGTAGGATGGAGGACCACTGGAGGGTGCAGATGGACTGGGAAGGATGGGGTGGGTAGCTTGCCATAATTGATTAATCATGCAATTAATTAGCTGGAGAGAAAACCCTGCTCAGCCTATAGTGCCCACCATGACACCACAGTGACAGGACCCTGTGGCCTTTGCCACCCTAGTCCTAGGCCAGAGCCACATTCCAATGACCCCTTTTGAGTCAACCCCTGCGTGATTTAAGGGCGACCAACAATCCCATCTCATTGTCCTCAGCCCCGCTGAAGGGCCCTTTTCAGCAATGCTGGCAGTGTTGCCTGGGGAACGCAGCATCTGCTTCTCCGGGCTCTCCAAACAGTAAACACATGTGAAGGCTGCTGTGCCCTCTCAGCTTCCTGTTTCAGCTCTGATTGAAAACTGGGCCCAGCAGATTTAGTTTAGTTCAAGGCCATGGCACTGCAGGGTCACGGGATGCCTTTCAAGCAAAGGTTGTGAAATCTCCTTTGCCTCCCAGCTGACTCTTGGCTGGGCCACATCCTCTGCCTTCCTCGTGACCCTAGGCCAGGCCTGCACTGCCTCCTGCCCAGGCCCTGCTCAGGCCTGCCACCCCCATGCTGCACACCAAGACATCTGCCTACAGCTCTGCTTTCCTAATTCCACTCCCAAGTTCAGGGATCAGCAATGGCTTGATGGCTGGGCCCCAGCCTGGTCCTTCAGGCTTGTCTCCTCCAGCTCACTCCCCACCAACTAGTCCTGGGGCATCATTAAAGCCATGTCCTTCCCAGGGATTCTGATGCAATGGGTGGGCCAGGACTGAGGCAAGTGTATTGTTTAGAAGGCTCCTTGGGTTATTCGAATGTGGACACCCGTGTCCACTCTCTTTGGCCTGTCATAGTCTTACCCACCATCCACCATCCAGCCAGATTGCCACCTCCACTGTGAAGCCTTCCCTGACTGCCGCAAATTGCAGTTGGCATCTCCTCCCTGTGGATGCACATTTTGGGCCGTCTGGCTTTCTGCTCCTGATTATGTACTTAGTTCATGTGTGTTATCTGTTTCCTCAGCCACCCTGAGGAATTTCCTGTAGTTCCCCTCCCATCCCTTAGACCCTTACTTCTCAAAGTGTGGCCCGTGAACCTGCAGCCTCACATCACCTGGGAACTTGTTAGAAATGCAGAATCCCGGGACCCAGCCAACGCCAGCTGAATCAGAATCTGCTTTGTAACAAAGTCCCCAGTAGGTACGCAGATATTAAAATGCGAGTTGCCCTAGTCCAGAGATGGCCACCAGACACTTAGAACAATTCTTTTCCCATGTCACTTAGCATCATCTGACCTACTCTATCAATATTCATTTATTGTCTATTCCCCTCCCAGGTTAGAATTTAAACTCCTCGAGGGCAGGGTTTGTTTTGCTCGCTGCTGTCTCCTCCGCAGATGTTCAATACTCATTGAATGAATAAATACAATTAAAAAAAAAACAAACCCTCCATCTTCCAGAATCATTTCTCTGCTGAGCAAGTTCCGGCTGGGATTCCACGAAGTTCATGTTTCTCTGCTGAGCAAGTTCCGGCTGGGATTCCACGAAGTTCATGTCCTTCCTGACATCAACCAGAAGCCGCGGGCTGAGCAGTGAGTTTTCTGTATTGGGGGTTGTGCCCTGCAGACCCCTCTGCTGGTCGGCCCTTCCTCTCTGAAGAGTCAACGGCAAGAGCCCTGTCCTGCCTGCCCCCACCTAAGCATGGAAAGAAAGTGGAAGAGTTTGCAGCTGTTAATTTTTGCTTGTGTTTCGTCCCTCGCCCCACCTGCTGGTCCTTTGCATATCAGAGCTCTGGTCTTTGCCAGAAACACATCTGGGCTGGAGGCGATGAATGTTGACATTCATGCTTTGCACAGACTGAGTGTTTGTGAGGCTCTTACTGGTGCAGATCGTGGCTGTTCTGCCTCTTGAGCAGAGGCCGGTGTTTCATCTGCCAGGAACCCCCACCCAGCCCACAGAGCTGGGGGCTGAGGGAGTCTCTGGCTTTATGCTTCACAAGCCCTGACTGCTTGCTACTCAGGAAAGGCTGATTTTACCTATGTTGATTTTCTAAATTTCCTCCAAACCTGGAGTGCTTTCATAAAGCAGTGGTTCTCAAGCATCAGCGTCAACACAGCTTGGGATCCTATTCCCACGATCCTGATTCAGTAGGTCTAGGGTAAGACCTGAGAATCTGCATTGATAACAAGCTCTCCAGTGCTGGTCCGGGCTTTCTGAGAACCACTGTCTTAGAGGCAATCCATATAACGTCCTTAACACAGCACCCAGCCCAGAGTCAATGGTCAGTAAATGCCGGATTTGTGGCTTCTGCCTGTTGGTGGCTTCTGAGCTCTCCCTGCGTCTTGACCTTTCCTTGAAGTCCTAACTCTGCTGCAAACTGCCTCCTTCCTTCTCGAGGCATTGCCTAATTTAAGTGCCTGGAAAAGGGACTGTGACTGGCCCAGCTCCTCCAGTCACGCCAGACCAAGTTAAAGGTCACTGGAAGGCCTGTTTCTTGGCTACCTTTGATCTAGTTGGCCATGGCCAGCAGTGGCAGAATCATACACCCTGAAATACATGGCTCGGGGGCAGCTCATTTTGCAGGGGCCAGGACAGAGGCACATCCCCTCCACAGGGCTGAGCGGTGCCAGAGCAAACAGAAAGGACAGTGCAAAGGCCCTGAGGCAGAAGCATGGCAGCTGCAGCCCTTGATGTTATACTAACACACTGGCGCTCGGAGGGAGGAAGATGTTGAATGGTCTGGGCAACCACTCCCCCTGCCTGTCCATGCAATGGCAAGTGAGCAGACTTGAAGCAAACCCCTGTGTGAATTTGTCACAGGGCTCATTTGTGGGGCTAGAAGGTGTGATTTACTTTCCTAGTGATTCAATTTCGTATTCTTAAAAGAAGACATTTACAATAAGATTGCTATATGTAAATCTGTCTACATGAGGTTTTCCAGGACTCTGTCTTCTCAGTAAAGTAAGGTCCTTCCTGACCTCTTTAGCCCTGACTTCTCCCTCATATCTCCCATTACCTGGAGAGCGAAGGAGATCAAAAAGAAAGGCGTTATTTCATAGTGATGGAGATACTGACTCCTACTGTTTACTAGGGGCTGTGCTTGGAGCATCAGGGGCAGACATTGCAGCCCTGCCCTGCAGGGTTTATCCCTGCTTAAATGCAGGTGAGAGCATGTTAGGAGCCATCAAATGCTGCAGAGATGGACCAGAATGCAAAAGAGAACAGGGTCGTTTCTGTTGGTGGAGGAGCAGAGCCTTGAGAAAGGCCATGAACAGAGATGGGGGAAGACCTTCCAAGAGAGAGGGCAGCACGAGCCAACATGCGGACCCCATTCCACTCCTCTTACCTTTAAACCCCTCCTTAGCCCCCACATCTGCCTCCACTCCTGGACCACTTCTCTCCTCCCTTGCACAGCCAACCTTCTCTAAGTGATGCTGTACTCTCTGTGGCCTCCTCAGCCCTCGTCCTCCAGCTCAATCCAGTCCAGCTCCCCGCTTACTGCTCCACTGAAATCACTCTTACCAGCGTTGGCCATGACCCCCACACCAGATCTGCAGAGCCCACTTCTGTCCTCATGTTTCTCTGCCTCTCAGCTCCATTGGACACAGTGATCCTTCTTGAAACGGTTCTTCTTTTGGCTTCCAAGACACTGCCCTTTCCTGGTTTCCTCCTACCTCAGTGGTCCTTCTTTGTTTCCTTCACTGGCTCTTCCTCCTTTACCTGACTTATACCTATTCACCTGCTTGGGATTCAGCCCTGGACCCTCTGCTCTTTACTCTGTCCTCAAGTGAGCTCATCTATCCACATGGCTTCAGATGGCTTCATCTGAATGCTGACCAGTCCAAATTTCTATCTTTACTAATGTAAGTCAGATCACACAGAAACCCCTCCAACAGGTTCCTGTCTTGCTCAGGGCATATCACAAAGGCCTTACCTGTCTGTCCTCGCCTCCTCCACTCTCCCTTGCACCCTCCTTTCTCTGCCTGCATAGGCTCCTTTGCTGCTCCTCAACAATCCAAACGTTCTTCTGCCTCAGGGCCTTTGCACCTTCAGTTTTGTTTGCTCTAGCACCCACTGCCTTGTGCATAGCTGGCTTTGGAAGGATGGGCTTCCTTTGGGTCCAGGGAGGCCTTCCCTGCCCATTATTCACCATTCCAGTACTTAGTTTGTATCTTCATAATACTTTCTTTTTTATGTATTTATTTATTCATTCATTTATTTTTTTTACAGTCTAGTCTAGATTCTTCCTTTATTTTGGGGGGTGGGAAGTAATTAGGTTTGTTTTGTTTGCTTACTTATTTATTTATTTAATGGCAGCACTGGGGATTGAACCCAGGACCTCGTGCATGCTAAGCATGTCTCTAGGACTGAGCTATACCCTCCCTTTACATAATACTTTTGATCTGTATTTATTTGCTTATTTGTTGTCCGGCAGACTGTGAACTCTGTGAGGATGGGGGACGTCTTCTGGTTTGTACACTGTTGTGTAGCACAGAGCCTGGCACAGGATTGTGCTCAGTAAATACCTGGGGGACGGCCAGGTGGGTGGAGGTAGATCCCAAGTTGATTGCTGTGGACAACCTGTGAAGTTTTGTTGAAAGTCAGACTTAACTGTCAGTGCCACATTCAACATGGAAGCTGCGCTGATGTAAACAGCAGCATCAGAAAGGGTTTCAGCCTGAAATACGTCCCTGTGGCTCCCACTTCCGTCTTCCCCGAGGACCTGGTTCTCCTGGAAGTGCCATGTGGTCCCACCCGCTCTCTCTGTCTCCAGCACCAAGCGGTTTGAGGACATGATTGCGCCCTTCCGCCTGAATGATGGCTTCAAGGATGAGGCCACTGTCACCGAGATGAGGCAGGACTGCCCCTGGAAGATCTCAGATGAGGAGATTAACAAGAATCGAATCAAGGTGCGGGAGAGAAAAGGGCCTTGCTGGGTTGGGGTACGGGTCAAGGTGGTCCCCTGGGTCAAGGCCTGGGCCCCATCTATCCTGAGCTTCCTTAACCCCCTCCCCTTGACCCTAAATTCTACTCGCCCCACCCCCACCCCAAGCCTCTGATGTATCCTCAAGCCATAGATGCTCGGGCTGACGAGTGACCCAGTGGTTGATCTCAGAGCCATCCTTGGTTTGGGAGCCTGGTCCCCCTGCCCACTGAGTCACCCCTGGCCGTGGCGGTGGACTGCCTGGAGTCCTCCCTCTCCTCCTCTGTTCCTCCATGCCTGCAGGAAGGGATTCATAAGGCAAGTGGTGAAGGTCAAGGTAGAGTTTGTCCCGTGGGCCAACAAAGCTGGCTGACCTTCTCCCTTCTCCCCTTAGCTGTAGACCCTACCCCCTTCCCAGATGGCATCTTTAGGACCCTAAGGAGGGCTAAAGGAGAGTGGGGGCTGCCATGGCCATTTTAAGGTGGGGCCTGGGGACCTGTGTGCTCCGGGTCAGTGGTTCTCCCCTGGGCAGCAGTGTAGCCCCTCAGAGGACATTTAGCAACTTCTGGAGACATTTTTGGTTGTCACCACTGAGGGGTGGGATTGCTGTCACTTAGCAAGTTGAGGCTCGTCTTGCTGCTAAACATCCTATACCTCACAGGCCAGTTCCCACAATGAAGATTTATTCCACCCAAAATGTTGACAGCGTGAGCTCAGGACTCTCTAATCTAGGTGATCTCACTTCCCGTCAGTTTTCCTTTCTCTCAGATGGAGTATTCATCCACCTTCAGACCCTGAATGTCAATCATTTCTGAACAAATTAGCTCATCTCCTTGGAAAATGCTGAGTAAAGTGTCGTGTCCATAGCTCTTGCCTACTGTGTTGAGGGAGGTGGAGTGATCCACCTTATCAAGTGCCTTCCCCTCTGCTTGATGCTTTTGCATAGATTATCTCACTCCGGCCACCCCACGTTCCCCCAGGAGAGGTATCATTGTACCCATTTCACAGATGAGGACAGTGGAGCTCAGGGAGCGAGATGCCTACTCAGGTTCTCTCTGCTGGGAACTCTCAGGGCGGAGATTGGAACCCAGCTCCCCCGACACCCCAGGAGGTGCCCCCTCCCCACACCATCCCGCCGGTCACAGTGATAAGGTCCAAAGGGAAACACCCAGGGGAGGCTTCTCCAGGGGGTGAGCTTGGCACTTAGCAATCTTATCAGAGGTGGGAGAGTCTGTAGTCATTTAGGGGGATCTATCCACACACCCAACACACCAATATGAGATGTTCAAAGAGGCCCTTGGGCTTGGTGGGGACTGCTCTGAGGATGTGGGCAGTGACCACGTGGCTTTTCCTCGCCCAGTCCCTTCGGCAGGTGAGGCTGAACGAGATTCTGCTGGATTACTCCCGAGACGCCGCTCTGGTCATCATGTAAGTAGTGCCCTGCGGGAGGAGAAGCCTGTCGACGAGGCCAAGGGTGTCAGCTCTAAAGCCCCGAGCTTTTCTCTGTGAGAATGAAGGGCCCAAAGCTTCCATAAGCGCAGCCCAGGTGGCATCTCAGCACGTGGCCGGGGCTGTGTCTGCCCCTCTCCTGCATGCCAGCTGGCGGGGATCTAGGGCCCCCTGTGTCCCAGGCCTCACGGACGCCCCTCACCACTGCTTTTCCCTTATCTGCTGCTTTTTCCTGCCAAACTTGGCTTGGCAAAGGGAACTGAGCTCATTCCAGAAGAAAATCAATTCCTAGTTGTTTGGGAATCACCAGCCCTCTTTGCCCATCGGCCATCCCCATTGATGTTGGTGCCAGGTCTGGGCAGTGGAAGCAGAGGCCCGCCCCGCCCCGGCTGTTCCAGGCTCCGTGCCTGTCAGACCCTCGGGCTTCCGTTGCTGCCGCCTGTGTCTGGTTAGGAGCTGCCACTGGTGGGTATTGGCCGAGGCTGAGTAAGTGGAAGATGAGGTGAAAACTGACAGTGGCACAGAGTCTCACAGTGGCCCTGCTCTCTCTGAGGCCAGGAGACAGAACATGGTCAGCCAGGCCACCTGAGAGGCCTGGTTCAGAGGGAACATGGGGGCTTTTGCCAAGAGGAGTAACTGACATTTCCTGGAGCAAGTCACCTGCGGATTCCACTGGACCGCAGGTGGCTGAGAAGCCGGTAGAACCTGTTTGTATCCTGAAACCGGGATGGAGCATAGTGAAAATGTGGGGCCCCTTGTTCAAAAATGATTAGGAATGTCAAGAAGGGAAAGAAAAGAAAAGGGGAAAAAAAAAGAATGTCAAGATAGTGACAGCAGAGCGTTAAACCCAGCCAGGGCCCCTCCTCAGTGTGGGGCTGAGCGCGCAGGTGGTATGGCAACAGAACGAAGCTGGCTCTGCCTGAATGCATGCTTCCTGGGAGTTTTATGGAGATGATTTTTTGTGTGCAAAAAAAGTGTGTCATGTTTCCTTTGATGTGGGGACTGTGATATAAGAAAAGCAGGTTTATCTCTAAGCCTCTGGCCAGCATCTTGCAGAGAATGTTCCTGGGGCCAGGTTAGCTTGGGTGCGGACTGGGTCGGGGCAAGATGGATGGCTCCCGACTTTCCCTGGGTGTGGCACCTGGTGTGTTCCAGCTGGGGCAGGGGGTGGGAGTGCCACTTCTGTTCAGAGAAACAGGTTTGCATTTTGTCTCTGCCATTAGCCCACTGTGTGACCTTTGCCAGGTAACCCTCCTTCTCTGAGCCTTGGTTTCCCTGATTACAGAGAAGAGTTAAACTAAATTATTTCCAAGATTCTCCAGCACTCTAACATGCTATGATTCTAAATTTATTTGCCACTAAAATGAGTCTCTCAAGCCACAAGATGAGGAATTTCATCCTGGGAGGTGACCACCTGCTGGCACCTCCCCCACTCCCCCAACCCCTGGACCTCATAGGGGAAACCAATGCCCCACCCACCAGCCTTTGTGGAGTTCTCTGATACAAATAATCTGGAGTCCGGTCACCTTAGAGGAGACACCTGTGCATAGCGTCCCACCTGGTGGCGGCAGCTACAGCTGGTGCCCAAAGGGGCCCAGCTGTCCAGCCAGCTCCACTGGGAAGGCAGAGCAGCTGTATCTTTGCATTGCTGATCTTCAGCCCTGAGACGAGCCAAAGTTCAGTCAGAGGGTTACCTTCATCAGGGGACTGTGGTAAATGTCAAATTCCTCAGTTCCTTCCAGATCAGGGTCTGGGGTGAGGCTCAAGAACCTGCATTCCCCAGAAATTGGAAGGAAGAAAAAATTTTCCCAACCTTGGTGAAATCACAAAAATCACATTTCAGCATTTGGGAGAGCATACTTGGAGCATTTTCTAAAGCAGATTTGAGGCCAACTGGCTTGTTTGCTGCCTGCTAATCAGCAGTTTATCTGATACCCATGTTTGAGCTCAGCTTAAACTACACAGCTGATAAACCAGCCTTGTAACCAGCCCAGCAACCTTTGACCACACTAACAACCAATCTGTGGCCTAACATTTGGATCTATAAACCTTTTTTCTATAAAGACTCCCTCCTTAAAGCCAAACAGTCATCATCAAAATAATGATAATCAACACTGCGTTTTATTGATTGACACTCAAGGCATTGGGCCCTATTAATTTTCAAAACTTTATGAAGTGGTTCTGTTTTACCCCCATCCCCACCCATACACACACACTTTGGAGATGAGGAAACTGAGGCTCCAGGAAGTTCGGCAACCTGCCAGGATCTCACAGCTGCTAGTGGGGACTGAGTTTTGAAGCCTGAGATGCCGGCTCTGAAGCACAGTTATCTTTCCACATCTAGGTTAGATCCAAGGCTGCCCTTTTTTGTGTGGCTAAGAGATGTAATTCCAAACAAAAAGCTCCTTTGTTCTGAGCAGCTTTATTTCTGAAGATTAGTAGCTTGAAGCACACACATCCTGTGAGCAGGAATAGAGAGCGTCATTGACTGGTGTTGGGGGAGTGACAGGGAGTCTGTTTTTGGACAGTTGGACGGGCTCATTCAGGGAGGGAACTTCACGCTGGGGTTTGAAAGGCCACAGCAGTAGCCATGGGTGTTCGTTGCCTCTGATAACACAGCTGCCAGTCCCCTCGTGGCCTTTGAAGTTTCTGAATTCAGTCCCTGAATATGATGTAGTAATTCCCAGAGGGCGTTGTCAGCCTTTGGTGTAACTGTTACGTCAGGTAAGTTTGGTTTCAATATTCCTACTTCCTTTTTCCCTGTTAAGGCACCAGACAAACACAAACACAGCCCAACCAAGGTGACACTAGCTTAATGGTATGTCCTTGTTCCTATCAGCCTCCCCAAATCTTGGGGACCTTGCTTTTGAAGGGCAGATAGTGGTGGTTTCAAGTGAAGCTTCGAGGATGGAATTTTAAATAAGAGACCGCTGTTTACGGATGACCTTGAGTCACCTTCTCAGCAGAGGTTGGGGTGCGGTGAGCAGGGGCCACTGGGGTAGAAAGATCCCGGGACCTCAGGTCAAGTCCTGGCTCTGCCACTCACTGACTTGGTCATCCCGTGCTGGCAGATAGTAACAGGTGATGATGGTACTGCCTCCGAAATGTAGTGCTTGCTCTGTCCTGGCGTCATGCGGACCCTTCGTGGGTCTTTAGGGCTCACAGGCATCTGTGAGGGAGGTATGTGTGTCCTCACCTTGGGGAAGAGGAAACCGAGACTCAGGGGTAGGGAGCCATTTGTCAAAGCCACACAGCTGAAGAGGTGGCCAAGCCACGACTCCTACAGCTTCTCTGACACCAGAGCTGGGCTCTGAAGCCCAGCATCGCACAGCATCTTCCTTTCTGCCCAATGCCCTCAGCTTTTCCCCAGGGGTGGGGACGTTGATGGCCAGATGAAATACTACCTGTGGATGTACTTGGGAAAACAAAGCGCAGTCCCACATAAGGTGCTGGTGCCCCAGCTTCGTGTAATGACAGCTGGTTCTGTGCGATGGGCCTACCTTCTCCAAGAGCCAAGAACTGGGCAGCTGCGGTCATCACTGCACATCTCGGGAGTCTCAAGATGGTGGAAAAATCACTTCCCGATCACTTCCCTAAATAGCCATGAAAATGTGGCTGAACAGCATTCCCAGAACAGGTTGTTATTTGCAAAGCACTGCAGTCTGGACAAGAGGCCCTCCCCAGGCGACAGAGGAGTCCTGCCCCTGGGGCCTTACAAACAGGGCCAGGGGCAGGACCAGGACATAGCTGAAATGCATGAACACACCAGGTTGTGGCTCAGGCAGGTGTGTGGCTGGAGGGGGCAAGGCTGGCATGATCCGAGTGGCCTGATGGGATGATATGACCTCGCTGTGTCAGACTGTGTTCTAGGCACGGAGACAGGGTGGTAAATAAGACAGACTCAGTCTGTGTGTGAGTGAATATACATTCCAGTGGGAGAGACAGACCACAAACAAATAAATGAAAAGAGGATTTGAGAGGGTGAAGTGCTATGAAGACAGTGAAACAGGGTGATGTGATAGAAATGGGAAGATGGGATTGAAGAGGGTGATCAGAGAAGGAGGTGCACTGGAGCCAAGACTGGAGGGACTGAAGGAGCCAATCAGGTGAAGAGCTGGGGGCACTGCCTTCTGGGTGGGAAGGACATCACATGCCAAGTCCCTGGGGCAGGAGCAAGCTTGCTCTTTTTTTCAAGAGTGGAAAGGAAGCTCCTGTGGCTGTAGGGGTGTGAGGGTGGCAGGAGGTGAGTTGTGGAGGCTGGTGGGGACCAGATCATGGGGGCCTTACAGGCCATGGCTTTGTTCAGAAATGATTTGTGGCTGAAGGTACATTTTAAGTCATGCTTTTAAGGAGGCAGCTGGTCATTCTTAGGGTGGCTGGGAAGGAGGAGGTCTGAAGGCGTTAGTAAAGGAGATGCTGTTCAGAAAGCACACCATGAGCTGGGCTGTGTGGGGAAGGCCCCTTGGTAATTTCCCATCTGCGGCTTCCTCCTGCCCCACAGCACCTTGCCCGTTGGGAGGAAGGGGGAGTGCCCGAGCTCGCTCTACATGGCCTGGCTGGAGACGCTGTCCCAGGACCTCAGACCCCCAGTCGTCCTGATCCGAGGAAACCAAGAAAACGTGCTCACCTTTTACTGCCAGTAACTCTAGGCTTGGCCACATCTTCCCAAAGCCGGATGCATGGGGCATCCACCTGTCCACAGGGACAGGGCGTGTGCCCTGTTGCGCTTTAAGCCGTAACATCTGATGAGCTGACTGAAGAAGCTGGTTGATTTCCAAACTTCGGCTGGACCCCACTGCCATGGGACACGTCCTCTGGGCTTTGCTTTTATGGGCTGGAGAAGTTGCAGATGGAGTTCTCTAGAAAACCCCCTGGTGGATCCATGTTCCTTTTACATTTTCTTTTGCTCTTGATTACAACACATTAAGATTTCAGTCTTTGATTTGTGTACAAATTTGAGTCAGAGTGCTGGTGAATCTTGGCAGTTTCTGCCCACCTTTCCTGAGAGCACCCCCAACCATGTCTCCCCCTCTAAGTTCAGGAGAATGGGTGCCCCACCTGCAGCCCTTACAGGAGGAACACAGGGCTCATTGAGCATCCATAATAATGCAAATTTCTTTAACCACTCTCACTTCCTTCAGTTTCAATAACATGTCTTCAGTGTTTTGGTTGGTTCTTTAGTAGACCAGGGACTTTTAAACTTTGGGCTGCTGCAACCCACAGTAAAATCTATTCTACTCTGAGACTTGAAATGAACACAGTGAAACTGAAGTGTCACAGAGCAAGCCTCATTCCTACTATGAACGACACACTCTGGTGTTTTCTATTCTGGTTCTTTTTCTCCTTTTAATGTTGGTTGCAATTCACTAAAATGAGTTTGGGACCCACTAATGGGTGGTGAACCACTACATGAAAAACATGGCTTAGACTTTCTTCTGTGCCCTGTGTTTTTCTACACAACAGGGGGCCCATCTAATTTGTGGAAAGGCCATGTTGGGCATCACAGCCATTTCCCCAGCTCATCCCACAGGGAAGGAAAGGGAACTTACGAAACACCTTAAGGAGGGGTTTAGATGGCAGGTGTGTCAAGAAAGAACTTCAAAGGAGGGGCAAAGTTTAGGAAGTCTTGTGGAAGGGTGTTAAATTCCAGGCTTGGATGGGGATGGAGGATGGAGGTCTGGTTAAGGATGCAGGTTTGGTGGGTCAGGGATGAGAAAGCAGAGAGATGGATGTACAGATGGCAAGATTGGGCAAAGAATCAGAAAGGTCCAAACTCACCCCAGGGCTGGGTGGAAGGATAGGGGAGGAGGAACCACCAGTAAGAGATGGAAATGGAGCAAGTGGCAGAGGGGGCTGCAGTAGAGGGATGTAAGATGGGGGTCAGAGGTGAGAGAACCTGGGGGAGGTGAACCTTGCTCAAGTAAGGGTATTCAGGTTACTATGGATGGAACCCCTCCCCCCCCCCAGAGTATTTGCACAAACCACCTGGGATGTGGGAGATGTGCATTAAGAGATGTCCAAAGCCAGTGGGCGTGGCTCTCTGAAAGGGCATTTCAGCCTTAGACAAACCCAAGCAGTAGAAAGATGAGTTGCTGGGGATTCAACTGGCTGGGCCTTCTTCCATTAGCACTTGGGTGGCCAAGGAATCGCTGGGTCTGGTTGGCCCCCTCCAAGCGCACTGAAGCACCCACTTAGTCATAAAAGCAAAAGACTCTTTCTTGGGGTTGGGATTCAAAGGACTTCAGCATTCATTCCAGGCCCTAGGCTCCCAGGCTGTTATAAGCCCCACTATTTTGTTACCATGTCAGATCTTGCTGAGAAAGACCAAGTGCCTGACTGAGCTCCTGAAGGTTGGAGAGGGGGGCTGCCTCTGAGCCAATCACTGGACCTGGATCAACCCCAACTCCAGATAAGGCAAAGCCTCCATCAGGGAATGCTTGCCTTTCTAAAACTATACGGAAAACCATTTCCTGGCGAATGGGTGCTCACTCTTCTGACCTCAGGGAAACACTAAGCCAAGAACAGAGAATGCTTTGGCTTCAGGAATTTAAACAATTTTTTTTCACTATGTTGGAAACCAAATTTTGAACAATGATGATAGCTTTGTCTAAAAAAAAAAAAGCCTTGAGTTAATAGAGAAGTCAAAAGCAATGCAATGAATTAAAAATACATTTACTCAGTCAACAGAATTTATTGTTTTGGAACACACTGTTTTTCAACTCTGCTGAGTGTTTTGAAAAAAATTAACTATTGTTTTTGCAACCCTGGATTGAACTTTTCTCTGAGCTTCCACTGGTTCTGTAGGTCATACTGCCTGATTCCACACAGATGTTTATAGGAGCCACTTAGTTTCCTTCGCATGTGTTTGTAGACTCAAAGGGAACCCATTTTCTTCAGTCGTTTTTGAAAGTCTCCCAGGATTTTCAATCTGGCCTCAAACCAACAGGTGGAGAGGGTGAGTGGAAAGAGCTGCAGTGTGGCCACCAAGGGATCTGGATTTGAGTTTGTCTCTGCCCCCAAAATTGGCTTGTGAGCCCGGATATGCCCCTTAACTCCTCTGAGCCTCAGTCTGTGACATGAGAGAACTGGACCAGAACGGGTGTCACCAGCCAGCTGGCCTGCTGATGACTGTGGTCCAGCCCACATGTGGTGAGTCAAAGCTGTGGAAGCTGGGGGAGTGGATTGGAGAACACATGCTCCTGTCACCACCCCCCACCCTGGGCCCAGCACTTGCTGCTGCCCTACTGTGTGCACGGGGCCTCTGAAGGCCCTCTAAGTCATCGCTGGGCCTACTGGACACTGGGACGGTAAGAGATTTCGGTCCTCAGTGTGTGCATCTCTCTCTGCCTTTGGATGATAGAATGCTCCTTGTTAATGAGGAGTCCACCCTTGCATTGTGCATGGAAAACCACAGAGAGGTGGGTCATCAGGGCTGGGGCCCAACCCCAGCCAGCAGCCACACCAGCCACCGCAGAAGGGACGTGTCACTTATCTCCCCCAGGATCCACTGCCCAGATAGCCCTAATTTTCCCCTTGACATTTCAGCCTCCAGATTTCATATCCTCTTTCAGTTCCTGCCCAGACTTGTCATGGCTTTGAAGTAAGTACAGTAGCGCCCATTTTCCACCAAATAGGCCCTCTGGGCTCCACCTGCCAGGCAGAGAGCAGTGGGTCTCATGGGAGCATGGAGAGCCCCGTTTGGACTGAATTCCCTTTTACACACCTGCCTGGCCTCTCTTGTGTGGCTGGGAGGGAGAGGTGGGTTTCACAGGCATGAGACCTGCTGGAATGTTCCAGAAGAACCAGCTGGCTGAGAGGCCCCCAAGCACATGCAAAGCAGCCAGGTTTCACTTGTAGCTGTGTATAGCCCAGGATATCAGAAAAACAACAGCAAAAAAAGGCTGCCCACTTCAAAAGTGTTCACAGAAACAGGGCCCAGGAAAACCCAGTCACCAGCTTCACTGGTAATTCCCTGCTTGAAGTGAGGGTTAACCTTATGACCGAAAGCACACGTAGAACATGAACACCCCTTCCTGAACAGAAGCCACAACACATCCGGTCTCTAAAAATACCACATGGCAGAGTGTTAAGTAGAACCACCCAGCCAGGAGGCCAAACTGCAGAATGTCATATGGATGAAAGACAGTGGCGAGAAAGGACAAGTGTTTTTCATTCCAGCGCACAGGAGAGTTACAGCACGAAACACTCCAAGGATGCAAACAGGAGCAAACACTAATGGAATTAAGAAAATGATAGAGAAAATGATATTTGAAATATAGGTTTGGAGGATTGGTAGGATTCTACAGACAGACACGAGGGCTGAGGTTGGGAGAAGGTGTCCCAGGTGGCTGGATGGCTTGAGCAAGGACCAGAGTAAGGACAGCTTACTAGGTGTGTTTGGAGAACAAGAAATAAACCAGTTTTCCTGGTGTCTGAGGATTACGAATGGGGGAAGAATAAGACTGAGGAAGTCATAATGTGCGAGACCCCACCTGTGAGGCTGACGAGCTCATAACTGACTCAGAAGCACTGGGGAGCCACTGAAGGTGAAGGGGCAATCTGAGCCTTAGGAAGCTTAGCCATACAGGAGATGGAGGAGGCTGGAGGAGAAAAGGCAGGGCACCCAGAGAGGAGGCAGTGCAAGTTTGCAAAGCCAATCAGCAAGTCTGAAGGCTCTAAGCGTGGCACAGGGCATGGCAAAGAGGAGGAAGAAATAGTATCTTCCAGAAGTGCGAATTGTCTGGATGTATGTTTGTATAGAAACAGCGCCCCAGAAGTTGAGCCTGGGCAGCTGTAAGAATAAACAAGCCATACAAAATGGAGAGCAAGGTAACGGGCTTTCTGCTGGAGGAAAAGAGCAAGTAGGTGGGTTTGGTTTTGGACACTTTAACTACGACGACATCCCAGTGGTCAGAATCAAGGTCCTGGAGCTCAGGAAGGGCTCAGGCAGCCACCATTAGCCTGATACTCGGAGAACAGAGACCATAAGTAGATTTGGGAGTCACAGAGCTGGGAGATGGAAATGCTCACCTAGATACATCTATTTTTCTAAGCTGTGGGGGTGTCTCCTAAGGGCTTTGCAGAGAGCAAAGATACCTGCAGTGGCCCACCCCCCAAGTCTCTGTGGGACCCCTTGGGTGCCTGGAGCACCAAGAAGCTCATCTTTTATATTGCACTAGTTGTGTTGCAGAAAAATGTGTTACAGCTCAGTGTTACACCTCATTGTTACAGCTTAGTTGTGACAGCAACCTGGATCCAGACAAGAGACCAAACAGCACTCAGAGAGTTGGAGAACTCAGGTTTATTATGCCAGCAGGCCCAGCAGAGTTAACACTCCAAGCTCTGGACCCGGTCTTTAGGTTTACACAGGCCTTTATAGGTTGCCAGTTTACACTTTGCAACATCATATGCAAATAAAGTATAACAAAAGTTGACTAATTAGGAACAAGCTTTGTAGAAATGGACCAATCAGGAGGGAGAGAAATAAACAGTCAGGAGTGAGCTCTGTGCAAATAAAGTACTACAAATGGACCAATCAGGAGTTAGCTCAGGCAACCAATAGAATTTTAGGGGTAAGTTCCACTTTCCTAGAAGCAAGCCATTTCAGAGGCAAAAAGTGAGAAAGAGCTGCTGGGCCAGGTAACCAGATGGTGCTGGCAGGAGAGTATTGGCCCTGCCTGTCTTTTTTAATGGGGCTTCCCACCTCAGTTGTTGTATTGTTTTTCATTTGGGGCGGAGAGGGAAAAGGGCTGAGCAGACCCTGGAACCCCAAGTACTGCAGACAGACATCTTGTATTCGGCCTGGACGTGCAGATTCAGCTGAAACGGGATGGTTCTCGGAGGCCCCTCGGTGCAGGGCTGACCTGCCCTCTGCCCTGGGAGCCAGTTTAAGGGACTCAATTGAACTTCTTCTTTTTTTTTAATTGAAGTATATATAGTCAGTTACTATGTATCAATTTCTGGTGCACCTTCTTGTTTTTTTGTTGTTTTTCTCTTTCTAAGGAATTTTGAAACTAAGAAAAATTTTGTGTTTTGGAGGGTTGATGGACAAAAGTTCTAGATGATTAAATATGGTCTAATTTATTGATACTGCAGTTTTTTTCCCTTTAAATATTATACTGTGGAGAAAAACTTTTTTGAGCCATAGAGTTGGTGTTTTCAAGAACTTTTCACTTTTGCCAAACTATTACAATTAAAAGGCATCTGCATCTTCAGTTTCCTAATATTTTTTAAAAGATCTAGTGCCCTTTTTGTACACCAAACAGGTGAATGCTGATTTTTTTCAACCTACAATAAATGTCACTGAAATGAAAAAAGTAGCATTCAACAGAACAGAAGGAATCAAGGGGGCTTTTTAATCTTTTTTTCTTGTTGTATTATTTAAAATGTCAACTATTTTGAAATGTGTAATTCAGTGGCATTTAGCACATTCACAGTGTTGTGTGATCATCACCATTATCTAGCTCCAAAAAATTTTCATCGTCTGAAAAGGACATCATGGACCCAATAAGCAGTCACCCTCCACTAACCCCTGGACAGCACTAATCTGCTTTTGTCTCTATGGATTTGCCTACTCTGGGTTATTTCATATAAATAAAAACCATACAATATATGGCCTTTTGTGTTACTTAGTATAATGTTTTCAAGGATCATCCATGCTGTAGCATGTATCAGAAGGTCACAGCAGAAACATAGCACCACAGAAGGACAGCTACAATCAAGTTTTAAAATTTCCATCGTCTTTCATTTCCACATTTCCGGAAATCTCAGTTAAGGATATGGATTTTCATTACATGTACGCTCTCTTTTCCTGATTTGCTTGATTTTCTAGTTTTGAGAGGCACAAGAGGATATGTATTGTGTGATTTCACCTATCTAAGCTTCTAGAACAGGCACAACTGAACTGGAGTGACAGAGAGCAGGTCAGGAATGTCCCGGACCAGGAGTGGTGGGGGTGAGCAGATTGCCTGGGAAGGGGCACTAGGAAACTCTCTGGAATGATAGGCATGTATCTGGAATGATAAGAAAGAATTCACACAGGCAAATACACCTACCAAAATGCTTTGAAGTGTACACTTAAGATCCATGTATTTTACCGTATGTAAATTACCCCTCAGTACCAGTTAATTAAAAACTAAAAGTTGCAGAGTTACTAGCTCTGTGTTACTTAAAACTCCCCGTGCCTCAGTTTCCCCAGCTGTAAGATGGCAATAATAAAAGCATTCTATGTCACAAAGTTGCTGTGAGGATTAAATGAATAAAGTCACTCAAGGTTTGTGAAGCTGCCTGACACGTGGTAAGCACTCCCCAGTGTTAGCCATTACCTCTAGTCATGAGTCCATCTTCGTTCCCAAGCCTCTTTCCCTCCTGCTTTATTTCTGCGATGTCTTTTTTTTTTTTTTTTGTCATTTTTCCCCCCTATATCTCCTTTTTGGATCTATCCTACTGCTGATACACATTTCCTCTTGAATGAACCACTCAGGTTTCCTGGCTCCAAGTCTCTCCCCCTCAAACCCAGTCTTTGTAATGGTGCAGGTCCATACTGATTCTGATCCCATCTCTTCTACTGCTCAGAAACCTTAGCATCCACAAAATAAAGCCAACTCTCAAGGGTGAGCATGCAAAGTCTTCCTTTAGCTGGTCCTGGGAATTCTTTCCCATCTTACCTCTCACTGACATTATCATTATTATTATTTAAAAATTAACTCTATACTTACTGTCATACTTGCCAGTGGTTTCCAAACCTGGCCCTTGAATCAGTAATAATTTAGATGCCTCAGGTCTCATAGGCCTGACATGGGACCAGACACCTATTCTATTTTTTTAACATATTTACTGGGGTATAAATTGTGTGCAGTAAAACACACATATCTTAAGTGCACAGCTGCATCTACTTTGAAAAATGCCTGTGCCTGTCTAAGCCATATTCTTACCCAGACAGAACATCACCACCCCAGAAATTTCCTTCATGCTTCCAGCGGTGTGTTGGTAAAAGTTTAACAACTGATTCCCCTGGGGGAGAAAAAGTTCTGCTTTATAGCGTTCGCTGATCTCGGTGGTATAAATATCCCCACCATGGCCAGTTTCAAACTGTCAATGTGATGATGCTGAAAGCAGAGTCAGGAAGAGAGGCTCACCTTTGGTTCTTGTGAACCAGAACCAGCCAACCTCAGCACAGCATTGCCTGCCCCTTCCAAGTCAGTCTCTGCCACCCCCATCCCCAGGCAACCACGCTTCTGTGTTCTGTCTCAATAGATTCATTTTGCTTATTCTAGAGTTTCATACAAATGAAATCATGTAAGATGTACTCCTTCTGTCTGGTTCCTTTGCTCAGCACTGTTTTGAGATTCATCCATGCTGCTACATGTATGGTAGTTCATCTCTTTTTGTTACCCAGCAGTGTTCCACTGTAGAAATATACCACAGTTTATTTATCCAGTCTCCTGGTGATGGATACCTCAACTGTTCCCTGTCTTTGACATGCTCATGAATCAAGCTGCCGACCACATTCTTACCCAAGTCTTTAATTTCTGTTGGGTAAATCCCTACAAGTGTAATATAGCTGGGTTGTAGGGTAGGTGTTTGTTTAATTTAACTGCCGGACTGATTTCCACGGGAGTTGTACCATTTTACCATCCTACCAGCCATGTGTGAGTTCTGATTGCTCTATATCTTTGTCAATACTTCTTGTTGTAAGAATCCTCACTTTAAAAAAGAGTTCCTTAGGTGATTTTGTTTCACAGCCAGGCTCGGGACCCTCTGGACCGGACTTGTTGCAGTTCCCTAAATGTTTAAGGCTAATATTGGTTAAGCTCTTACTAAGTGTCTGGATCTTCCCCAAGACCTTTAGTAATGTTCTATCATTTAACTATCACAACAATCCTGTGAAAGAGATACTATTATTCTTCCTATTTTGCAGATGAGGACAAAGGTACAGAGAGGTTGAGTAACTTGCCTAAAGTCACAGAGCTCATAAGGGGCACACGTTGAGTTTGAAACAGGCAGTCTGGCTCTGGGCCCATCAGTTTAACCATTGAACTATACTTGCCTGTACAAATGGTGTCTACATGTAACCTATTGGGCTTAATCAATAATTGCTACCATTTTAATTTTTGTCAAATGCTTCAGAGTTGAGCTCAAATTCCACCTCTTCCATCTAGTTTTCTCTATTTCCCCCTCTTTTCCTCCTGTCTCTGTGTAATTCCTCAGTGTAATCATAAGTCCTTCAGAAATGTATGAGACTTTGGGGTTGTCTTTTATTTCTGTATTTTTGCACTGTTTTATCATACCTGTTATATTTGTAAGGTCACTGAGAACAGGGTCACTCCATGTTTATCTTTCTATTCCTGGCATATTGACTTGAATGTTTTTATAAATACAGTTGGACTTCTGTATCCATGGGTTCCACATCCACAGATTCAACCAACAGCAGACTGAAAATATTCTGCAGAAATCAGTTCCAGAAAGTTCCAAAAAGCAAAACTTAAATTTGCCACGTGGTGGCAACTATTTACATAGCATTTACATTGTATCAGGTATTATAAGTAATCTAGAGATGATTTAAAGTATATGGGAGGGTGTGCATTGGTTATATGCAAATACTATGCCATTTTATAGAAGAGATCTGAGCATCCAAGGACTTTGGTATTGGCAGGGGATGGTCCTGGACCCAGGACCCCATACATATGAGGGATGACTCTGCCATACACAGAATCACAAAAGTCCTTTAAAAGGAGCTGCCTTCTTGGGAGATAGTGCAAAAAGGAATCATAGTAACTGGACTGTCTTTTCCTTAGGGAAAAACACAACCTTTTACTTTCTTACTATTGAGTGAAAACAGATGTGCTGTTTTAAGGGGACCTGGTGTTCGTCACTGCAGACTGCAGGAAACCATGTTATATGACATACTTAATTTCCCACTGAGGCTGTTATCTCCTGTCTGGCTGCTTTCTCTAAAGCCTTTGCTTGCTTTATCTGGCCTGGCCGCACTGGTCAGCCTTTATCTAGCTGCAAGACTACCAGCTCATAATCAGTCATTTCTTCCATCCACATGTGTGGGAAAACAGGACCAGCTACATAATTTGTGGAACTCAGTGAAAAATGAAACTGCAGGGTTCATGTTCAAAATTTATTAAGAATTTTAGATGGTAACAGCAGAGTATCAAACCAAGAGTGGGGCCCCACAGGTCCCATACCCATGAAGCCAGCCCTGATGAAAAGGAACTGAGCCCTCCCCTGCAGACAAAAACCAATCATAGAAAGCTGAGCATGGGGGAAATGATCCATCTCACTTTTTAGTACAAAGACTGCTGAAAACTCCATGTTCTGTATTACATTGAGGGTGGTTGTTATGGATTGAATTGTGTCCTCCAAAAATATATTGAAGTCCTAACCCCCAGTACTTATGTATGTGACTGTATTTGGAGATTTAAGTTAAGATGAAGTCATTAGGGTAGACTCTAATCCGGTATGACTGGTGCCCTTTTAAGAAGGGGGGAAATTGGGACACAGAGACAGACATGCATAAAGAGAAAACGATGTGAAGGCAGGCACACGGGGGAACGCCATGTGACTATGAAGGCAGAGATGGTGTGATGCAGCTACATACCGAGGAATGCCAAAGACTGACAGTAAACCACCAGAAGCTGCAGGAGAGGATGGAACAGATTCTCCCTCATAGCCCTCAGAAGGAACCAACCCTGCCCGACACCTTGATCTCAGACATCTAGCTTCTAGAGCTGTGAGACAACACATTTCTGTCTTTTAAGCCACCCAGTTTGTGGTTTTACATCCACCTACCAGACCAAGTGCCTCCTGTTACCCTCTTTGCCCTTGCCAAACTCCTGCCACACCTGGCAAAAACAGATGTCTCAACAGGATTGTAAGAAGAATGGGGCCAGCATGATGTGTTTTGTTTTTCAAAACCTTTTTCCTACAGACGGAGGGAATGTCTATATCAGAGAAGACTCTGTGATCACATTTTAGGAACCTGAGGACCCTACCTTCCTTATCTCAGCCCCAATTTCAAGGAAGCACCTTGTTAGCATCCTAAAAAGTGAGGCCCTTTTCAAGCGTCTCCCAGCTGGACTGCGGCCTGCTTGCCACTCATTAGGGTGACGTCCCACACGTGGCGGTGTAACGTTCAAGCTTGAGACCATAGATGAATGGCAACAGCGGCCCTGACGCCTGCATCCTCAGCCCCAAGAACAGCCGTGTCTTCCTCACCCAAGGCACGTTGCGGGCGCCCTTCCGGTTGAGCTAGCAAGCCGAGTCCGCCCAGCAGTTCTCTGAGCTGAGGCTGGGGTGCGGGTGGGGAAGTCTCCCCTGGGGGGCCTGACGTCCCGGGCCACCCGGGGTAAAGGGAAGAAGTGGGGCTGGGGTCAAAAGGGCGGGGGATGCTGCTTTGTGAGGAAACAATTTGTAAAGGTTGCCAAATCGGGAGTCAGCCGGGTCGGCCCTCCCGAAAGCGCCTTGAGCAACCCAGGCCACGGAGCAAGCCACCGTCCTCACGGCCTAGGCGACCCGCGCGGGCCACACGCACCCAGCATGGCGGCAGAACCCGGACTGCGAGGCCGAAGCTGCGACTCGGGGTGACGCCACGGCGGCGGGTTGCATCAGCCCGCGTCCACGTGCTCAGCCCGCCCTTCCGCCCACGGAGCCGGGCGCCGATTGGGCCACGTTAGGGCAGGGGCCTCCGTCTCAACCAATGGGCGGCAGCCACAGAGAGTTCTGTCTGCAGAGCCCGGGCGCGGGTTGCCTATAAAAAGTGACCCAGGCGGGGGCGCGCGCCCCAGGGACGCGAACGGTTGTTGCGGTGGTTACGGCGGCTGCCGCCTGCCTGGCACCTGAGAGCGCAGCAGAGCCCACAGCGCCGCCGACATGGAGCCCGAGCCCGAGCCCGTCACGCTCCTGGTGAAGAGCCCCAACCAGCGCCACCGCGACTTGGAGCTGAGCGGCGACCGCAGCTGGAGCGTGGGCCGCCTCAAGGCCCATCTGAGCCGCGTCTACCCCGAGCGCCCGGTGAGAGTGGCCCCGGACTCCCACTGCCAGCCCCAGCCCTAGCCTTGGCTGTCATCCTCGCATCCCTCCTCGCGTCCCCCTAGGAATGTCACTTCCGCCTCCCCTTTCCATATAGCCTCTCTCTTCGCCGGCCTTGCCCCGGCGGCCGGTGCTCCCCAGGTCCCTTCTCTCAGTCCTGTGGTCTCCCTCGCTTCCTGCCTTACCGCCCTAGGGGCCCCCGCTCTGGCCCGGTGGCTGTCACTTCCTCCTCCTGGGCCACCATCGCCCCGCCTTTCTGACGGGTTGCTATCTCCTGTCACCTGGCCTCTTAATGTCCCCAAACCCTCACAGCTGTCACACTCCTGCCATACTTCTCCAGACCCCTTCGCCGTCCCCTGGATCTGTCTTCCAGCGTTAGCCAAGCCTTTGAAACAGCAGTTTGACCTTGGATGAGTCATTTCACCTTCCAAACCTTAATTTCCCCCAAACGTCAGGGTGACTTGGTGCTTCTCATTAGGATTGCATCCGGTGGATGGAAATAAGAAAACATAAATGCTGTGAAATGAGTTTTCTGAATGTAGTTTCTCACTGCGGAGAGGGGAGGGCAAGTGCCAATCTCCGGGCCAGTGGCTAGAGAAACATGGAGAGCGCCAAGACAGTGTGTACTTTAAAGTCCCACACCCAGGAGCAAGACGTGGCTCTTCCCCTCCCTGTCCACTTTCCGCCCTGAGCCCCTCCCTGGGAACTGGACTCTACCATATCTGCTTAGTCCCAGGGACCAATGAGCCTAGTACCCTTTCTGGTAAAGAGTGATTTGGAAGGGAAACAGGTAGAAAGAATCTTCTGGAGTCTGGGTTTTAAGACTTTGGTCTCTCAAATACGGAGACTTCCTGGCTTTGTTTTGGTTGACGCATCTGTCTGCATCACCCCTAGCTCCGCCCTCCCTTTCTACCACGTGATGGAGGCTGTGAGCTGGACCTTCCTGTATTTACTTTCTATTCTAATATTATGTAAGTGTCACCAGTGTTTTTGTTTTTTTGTTTTTTTGTTTTTTTTTTTAACTGCTCGCAAATGTACCTTTCCGTCAAACAGGAGAAGGGCAGCAGGGCAGGACAAGATTGTGAAATTGTTCCTTCTTATCTGAAGAGTCGCCATGGTCGTAGCTCATGGGTCAGGTTGTTTTTATTCCATATTGGCAAGAATATAGACATGAGTTTCCCTTCTGAGTTGTTCTTTTGAAATTTGCCTGTTTATTTAAGAAGCTCCCATTCCTTTAGCATTCACCTTGACACTATTTGCAATTTCACCATGGCTGCTTCCAAGAAACCAGGTGGCTATGCTGCTGTGAGGACGACTGTTAGGTGCACAAATTGGGGAAACGCGTGTGGCCTCTAGTTGCACCATTTGGTAAAAGGCAGTGTTTTGGAGGAGAACTTTCCTTTAGGGCTTCCTTGGGTTAGGAACATCACTCCTATTAAGTCTAAAGATCCAAAGTTGTAAATAAAAGTTCTCACAGGTGTGTAAATTTGTGTTAAAAAATTATGGCTGAGCACACTCATTTGCTTTCTTTTTTTTAATTTTTATTTATTTAGGTGAGGGGTTAATGTGGGTTTACTTATTTATTTTTTAGAGGAGGTGCTGGGGATTGAACCCAGGACCTCGTGCATGCAAGGTATGCACTCTACCACTTGAGCTATCCTTTTCCCCTCGCTTGCTTTCTAATGTGAGAAGCCTTACTTTATAATAGTTGTTTGCTTAATTTTTTTTTTCAAAATCAGCCTTTTTGGTAAAGACAATGTCAGTTCAGGCCTTTAACAGGCCTCAAATCCCAAGCACCTGTGATTTTCAAACCCTTTCTAGTGTGGACCTCTTTAATATAATGCAGGACCCCCACCTATATGACAACATTTTACAAATCCACGCGTATAGCATTTACCTATAAAGTCAATCAGAACAATAATGAACATGGCATCCAGTAATATATTTTAGTTTGTTATAGTTGCAGTGTCAAAAAATCCTGATTTATGCAGATAAATAGATGCTGTTTTGTTAGCTTTTAACGGTTTGCTTTATATGCTCAGGCTACCTTGCAGGAGCAGCTTTATTCCAAATTTTCCATAATTGGTTATTCTGGCAAGAGCAGATTGACAAGTTGGTGGTGAGCTCCAGTGTACTGATTTTGGTATATATCATTTGAAGCCATTATTTTTCAGTTCAGTTTTTAGATGAATAAAAAATGGATTTTAAAAGTGAGATTTGTGTAAAAGTGTGTAGCACCACTGTGGTTTTAAAATCACTGGAATGTAGAAGAAGGTACTTTCTTTAGCAGCAGGCAACCTTGGACAAGTCAATTTTAGGCTTTCCTCCCTTAATTTAGGGGTAGTAAATCTCACCATCTCCTCTATAGCTGTATTTGTAATGTTGGGAAAAGGCTCTTTGAGGGCTTAAGTTTAGAATTGCTTCATGTTATCTTGGGACAATGCTAGGTGGTTTGAATGAAGGCTGACCTTAAACTTTGAGTTTTCTCTGAAATGGAACAAGATTTTGAAGTTAGTTGCTATAGGAGCCCCAAATAAAATTTGTGTTTTTAGTGGCAGGAAGCAATTTCCTTGGGAGTTAAGAAGTCAAGTAGGTTGCCATAGGTTTTGTGGACTGGAGATAATTTGAACCTTAAATTTATTTGCATGTTAGAGATCAGAGTTAAATACTTTCTAAATAAAGGTTTTGTATATGGGGCCTTTGAAAGAATGTTTTCCTATGATACTGTGGAAAAAACACATTTAACGTACTTGTATGGGGGGAGGGTATAGCTCAGTGGTAGATTATGTGCTTAGCACACATGAGGTCCTGGATTCAATCCCCAGTATTTCCATTAAAAAACTTCAAATAAATAAACCTAATTACATCCCCCCAGATAAAATTAAATTGAAAAATAACAAGAAAAAAATAAAGTACTTGTATAAAAGTTTCTTCTATAACTACTATGTATAAAATAGATTTTAAAAAAATTTCTGTATAGTGCAGGAAACTATATTCAATATCTTGTAGTTACCTGTAATGAAAAAGAATATGAAAACCAATGTATGTATGTATATGTATGGCTGAAATTGACACATTATAACTGACTATCCTTCAGCAAAACAAAAAACAGTTTCTTCTGTGTTTGGGAACTTGTCAGGGCTAAATGCTGACCTGTGCTCCTCTTTCTTTCCATGATAAGCGTCCAGAGGACCAGAGGTTAATTTACTCTGGGAAGCTGTTGTTGGATCACCAGTGTCTCAGGGACTTGCTTCCAAAGGTACATCACTTAACATATTAACTTTTGAATGTTTTTAATCACTAAACCAGGTTTAATCACTAATCAGGTCCTAAAGTACCTCCTTACTACTTTTAGCAGGAAAAACGGCATGTTTTGCATCTGGTGTGCAGTGTGAAGAGTGCTTCAAAAATGACAGAAACTGGCACAAAGGTATGTCTGCTTTTTCTTGATTATAGCAATTTGTGTACTTCACACTCTGAAGGTCAAAATCAAGGATGTTGGATAAAACTCTTGAGAGTTTTTTTATCTCATATATTATAAACTTTATATTTTATATTATAAATATTCCCAGTGAGAATCAGGAATAAAAAACTTACCAATGCAAGTGACAGTTTACTATAAGATTAGTAGACTATTTCATCAGTGTTGTAGTGGAAAAGTGGAGTTCTGCATCACACTATTTTCTGGGAGTTGATTTGACCTATAGTAGCTGTGTATCCAGATTACTGAACTAGCAAGGCACTTGTGAATTTAGAACATAATAAATTTCATCTAAGGAACCATTAACCTTTTATAAAGAGTGGAAAAGTTAATATCATTTCCTTTGGAAATTTTCGTTGTGATTATTTAGATAGGAAAAGGCCACAGTCTTTATCAAGTGATCGCTGAAGACTTGCTTATGTTAGATGGTCAGAATCCTTCATTTGTCATTTTATAATATTGATTCAAATATACAGTATTAATATTCTAATGTGATAGACTCTAAATTTGTATTATAGTTGTACATTTTGAAACATTTGAACATAGCCTAAGAACACAGCCCAGGTCCTTTAGGTTGCTGGCTAGGTTGTATTTATAAATCTTATTGGTCAAATTGAATTTCTTGATTTAGTAAATTAAACATAATAAAGTGTAGAGAGCATATACAGGAAGCTTTCTCATCAATGATGACTTCATTGAAAGATTTTAGTGAAACTACAGTGGAGCTACTCTAGGAAAAAATACGAATATTTTTAGTATCCCTATATTGATATTGTGTTGAACAAATTTCAGAAAACTTTTTACATAACATTGCATCTATTTGATTTTATCAAGTTTGAAGGTCGGGATGGGGGACATAAGCCATTCACAGCAAAAGAATCCATGTAGCTTGATTTCAGACAGTTGCATCAGGCCCTTTGTTCTCTTGTTCATGTTGCACTTACTCAGGTCGCTGAATCCACAGAGCAGCCTGCTGGTCTTAATCAGGGACAGTCTCCTGGGGATTCCTCAAGTGACGGTTTAAGGCAAAGGGAGGTTCTTCGGAACCCTTCTCCCTCTGGATGGGAGAACGTCTCAAGGTGAGTGTTATAATAAAGAACCAGGTTTAGACAACATGAATGTGCATCATTTGTATCAACTTAAGAATTAGATGCGTTTATACTGCATAGTCATGGAAACTTAAAATGTATAAAATTTTGCTTTATAAGGGTTTCACTTTAAAGATCTCACATATTTAACGTTTCTTATTTCATAGCCTTTTAGGAGCATCTAAAAAGGGGCGATGCACATATTGTAAATGTGGGCATTTCTCCTCCTACGTGGGTATGCTTCACACTGTGCTGACCTCATGATGGGGAATTAGTGCTGCTGCAGGAAAACAGCTGTTGTAAATGTTGTGCAGCTGCTTTGCTGAGTGGCTTTGTGCTTTGTTGTAACAGCGGGTGACAAAGGTGAAGGGATTGTTTAAGAAATGCTCTGCCAAGAACTGTATTGGTGGTGCTAGGAGGAAAGGTCATCGCTTTAGAACAATTAGAGCTTTTCTTTAGAGCAAAAGCCAGAAGTGACTAAATGCTGGAATATTTGGATTTCATAGCTTTTGAAACACCTGACTATGAAAATCCCATGGGAAAAAATAATTCATTAACTACTAGTTGAAACTGTTATTCCCCAATTCCCCTACCCTCCTTTTCCTAGTTGTTCTTAATACTTGACTGTTGATAAGTTAGGTGTTTGAGGAATGAAGAGTTGATTTTTTTCTTAATGGATATTTCAAATATACATGAAATTAGAGGGAACTGTATAATGAATCTCCATATAATGAACAATGTTTTGCCATACTTGTTTCATTTATTCCTGCTTCCCTTTTTTTCTCTGAAATATTTAAAAGAAATTCCCAGATGTTATGTCAGTTCACGCCTACATACTTCATTCAGGATATAACTCTAAAAACCTTTATTTATCTTGCATGTCTGCAGTGTCATCATCATCAGAGCTAACAAAAGCACTTTATATTCTCTCATTAACATGCACTATATCTTTTTTAAATGATCAAAACCAGAATCATCCAAGATCTACTTGTATTAGAACACAATTTTAGAAATACTCTAGGTATGGAATTTAGTTAAGAGACTATCAGCATATAAATTGGATAATTGAATTCATTATTGGATAGAAACGCTTAAAACTGCTTCCCTTTTTCTGGCTGTACTATTTGAGAATGGAGGCCCATATCTGACTATGTGAATTTCACCATAGTAAAATTTTATTGATTCCCTCCAACAAATATTTATTGAACAGCCAGTGCATATAACTTTGGTTAAGGACATGAGCTGACCGGCAGAGATGCCCACATACCCAACTCCTGATCCTTCTGCAGTTCTGTCAGTTTCAGTTTTGTGAAATGATGCCAAAGCAATTCACTGTGTTGGGCTCACAAAGCCAAAGATGACTCTGACACACCTAGGCTCTGTTGAATAATAAAAGTATGAGTTTGGTGTCAAACTAACAGGTCTCAAATCCAGCCCTGATACTTACTAGCTTCAGTCACCTTGCCTTCCCTGAGCTGCCCTCGGGCTCTCCTCTGTAAAATGGTGAAGGTAGAGAGCTCCCTCTCTACAAGGTTGTTGGGGATCCAGTGAGGTAATAGCTGGCAGCCTGTCTAGGGCACAGGCAGTCGGTAAGCCTGCGTGGGTGATGCCACACATACCTCTGCCCCTGTATAGTTCAGACCAAGTGGTGAGGGAGAAATGGGTATTGGGAGGAGGGGGAATTTCCTGAAGAAAAGGCTTTGGGAAAGATGTGACTTCTCAGAGCTGCTCCTTAATTGATGAGCGGTAGGTTTAGACCTCGGTAAGACTCGGTCAGAAATAAAGGTGGGAATCCACTTAGCCTGAAAAGGCTTGTTTGTATATCATGGTGATGACATGATGAGAATCCAGTGCCTGGCAAGGGCCCTTGTTTTCCCATGCGATGCAGACCATGGTAGGAGGGCTCTGTCCGTCAGGACTTTCTGTGCTCGTATTACACAGGTCCATCACACAGTAATCTGCGTCTAACTGTCATAAAGCCCAGGTTTCTGTCTCTTTGTTTCGAATTCTTGATTGTAATTTAAACTTAGTTTTCATTTATTCATACTAAACCAAGTCAAAATGAACACTTAAAAAAATCTTTTCATAGGCCTGAAGCTGGCCAGCCGGTGGCGTTCCAGGGCCTCGGGCCTGGTTTCTCAGGCTACACAACCTATGGGTGGCTGCAGCTCTCCTGGTTCCAGCAGATCTATGCACGGCAGTACTACATGCAGTAGTGAGTCTTTCCCCTCCACGCAGGGTGTGGCCAGGGCTCCTGGGAACTGCGGGAACTCCCATCCCTGTTACCTGCAAAGTTAGCAATGGAGGGATGAGTGTATTTTCATCCGTTTCTGCAGAGCCCTGTTCTGGCTGGTTCCGTAGGTGGAGCAGAGTGTAAATGAGAACTACTAATTTGTACTGATGTGAGGGTGCGTAAGTCTGATACATAGTTTGATGACTTTATTTAGAATATACTATTTCCTTTTCAATTTGTGATATCTTTAAAGTTTTGTCAAATTTTTTATTTTATTTTTGTGGAGTTACTGGATTGAACCCAGGACCTCATGGATGCTAAGCATGCACTCTACTGCTGAGCTATACCCTCCCCCTTGTGAAAATTTTAATTTGCTACTGCACCATACTTTTATGGGTGGCCTTGATGTTTAATTCCAGATGAAATTTACCAGGTGGCTTCTCTTAGGAGCAGAAAAGGCATTTGCAGATATGACTATTAGTAAGGAAGTTCCTCACTAAGTTAAAGAAGAATCAAGTTTGTATGTACCTACTTACAGTTCTTAATGGTAAAAGACCCCTGCATAAATGAGGTTATGAGAACCATAGTCTTCATGGTGCTTTGTTCTCAATAGCATCTTCTCTGTCGTTTTTATTTTAGTTTAGCGGCCACTGCTGCATCCGGGGCTTTTGTCCCCTCACCAAGTGCACAAGAGATACCTGTGGTCTCTGCGCCTGCTCCAGCCCCTATCCACAACCAGTTTCCAGCTGAAAACCAGCCAGCCAATCAGAATGCTGCTCCTCAAGTCGTGGTTAATCCTGGGGCCAATCAGAATTTGCGGATGAATGCACAAGGTGGCCCTATTGTGGAAGAAGATGATGAGATAAATCGAGATTGGTTGGATTGGACCTATTCGGCAGCTACGTTTTCCGTCTTTCTCAGTATCCTCTACTTCTACTCTTCCCTGAGCAGATTCCTCATGGTCATGGGGGCCACTGTTGTCATGTACCTGTAAGCAGATGATTTTGTTTTCCTTTTTTCCCCTTTTCTACAAATTATGCTATATGGTGACTCAGACCAAGTACAGATTTTTCTCTTTTGAGCCATCTCAGCCATTATGTAAGGAGATGTGTTTTTTAGTTTATGCTAGCATTTTTAATACAAGGGATTGATGGCTTAGTTATGACTTTGCCAAGAACGTGATTAATCCTGTGTTAATACAGGAGCAACGTTCTCTTCTTTTTCTCTAGATAAGGTATTTGCCAGGCTCGTGAACCACAATAAAACAGCTATACTGAGGCATGGAAAGGGAAATTGTATTTGTATTGAATAAGAACATACTTATCTTTCTCAGGCTACAGCTGCCTTCCAGGATAAAGGTCAGGCACTGTCTGTGGCATAGTCCCAAAGGGCCAGGGAACCATCACAGATCTGGCATTTGGCTTTATCCACGGCTTAGAGCAGTGATTCTCAACCCGGAAGATTTTTCATCTCCCTCCACCACTCCCAAGACATTTGGCAGTGTTTGGAGACATTTTTGACTGTCAAAACTAGGGAGGTGGTTTTACTGGCATCTAGTTGGTAGAGGCCAGAGATGCTGCTAAACCTCCTCCAGTGCGCAGGACAGCCCACCAGTAAATCTCCAGCCGGTATGTCAGTGGTGCCGGAGTTGAGGAACCCTGGCCTAGAGTCATATGTCCTTGTTTGTGCTGAAAACTGACAGAAGAAATTTTTTCCTCTATAGGGAAAACGGATTTTTATTTTAGTTTTTAAAAATCTTGGAAAAGAAATATTTAGAATAATACATTAAATACTCATATCCAGTATTAATCATTGTTGATAAAATATTTTGTCATTTGCTTCAATACTTGGATTCAAATGGATTTTCCAGATAAAACTTCTAGTTAATTCTTTAAATTCTGTAGCCTCTAGAATCATATATTTAGGTGACCACATTTAGGTCTTATTAATACATTATTACATATATTCTCACAGATGTGTGTGTGTGTTTCCCCTTCCTTTCTCTGCTCAGATTTTTAAGTGTAAGGTTTGGTTTAGATGAGCAAATATTTATTGAACACATACTATGTGCCAGGAGCCGTTCATGTTGCTGGGCACATGATACTGAATAAAACGTAGTTTCCACAGCAAACATCAGGAACGTTACAGGCCAGTGAGAAGGTCTAGGAGCCGGCGGGGTGGAATGTCTCTGCACGTGGGCCTGTCAGCTTCTCATCAGGTGCTGCTCTCATTAGAGGAGGGGAGCAAGCAGGGGGAACCCTTCAGTTCTTGAATAAATCTCACTGATGTTCGCTAAGATGGACTTCATGTGTTTCCTTTGAAGGCATCACGTTGGGTGGTTTCCCTTTCGACAAAGGCCAGTTCAGAACTTCCCGAATGATGGCCCCCTCCGTGAAGCTGTAAATCAGGACCCCAACAATAACCTACAGGTATGGGGCTTCCGATGGAGCCCAGTGAGCTTGGCGTGAAGTGCCTGGCCCCCAAATCCTTAATCTTTAGATGTCCAGCCTCATGGTTTACCATTAGGCTAAATACTAACCTAAATATCTCAAGATTTTTTTCAAAATATATTCTTAGAGCAAGTAGCTATTTTAAACCATTGTAAGATAAAATCCATCAGGTATTTTTGTCGTGTGGCAATTTGCATTTTGGCATATATAAATAGTGGTTTTTTTAAACTCACTATTTTCAGTGTTCATGCTCTGTAACAGTGTGCTATACCATGGAAACTGCGAATGGATAGTTATTATAATTAAGGTTTAGGAACGTAAGCCTGTCTCACTTACAGAAATAAATTTCCTGGAAAATAACACAGAAAAAGAATTTTTATGAGGCACTTTAATGCACAATCCTAAAGGATACTCTTTTTAATATAAAGTGTCACCCTGGTGTCTATTTTTAGAACCCTGGGCTTCCATTTTTAGTTTTTTAACTGGAGCACTGCCAAAATTAGAAAAATATCCACACTTAATGAAGTGGCTCACTCAATTACTAGTTTAATAGTAGTTGAAGATCTGGTTACTTCATTTGTTCTGATCCTTGCTGCCAGGAATAGTGAGAACTGTGAGGCCATCTCCAGCACAGCTGTGCTCTGGAGGCCTGGGAAGGGCTCCATCTGGTCCAGGACATCATTCCCTGGGGTCCTGCCTGCCTGGCTTGGTGTAGGGGGCATGGGGCCAGGGACTCACTCTGCCCTTTCCTAACGTTGTTTGGTGCTTGTCAAGGTCCTAATTGTTTTCTTGTTGTGTTTCATTACTTATAGGAAGGCCCTGATCCTGAAACTGATGACCCTAACCACCTTCCTCCAGACAGGGACGTCCTGGATGACGAGCAGACCAGCCCTTCATTTATGAGCACAGCCTGGCTCGTCTTTAAGACTTTCTTTGCCTCTCTTCTACCAGAAGGCCCCCCAGCCATAGCAAACTGATGGTGTTTGCTCTCTGGCTTCTGGATGCTTTGACAGGCATGGACTGGATCATCTGACTCCAGCTAGATTTCCTTACCTGGACATGGCAATGACACAGAATTAGTGAAAGAATCAACAAAGAGGATGATATGCTTTTGTGATGAAGCAAAAGCAGAAAGTAAGACGTGAAGCCATGATACAAATTGATGAACAAAAAATGCCTAAGGCTTCTCATGTCTTTATTCTGAAGAGCTTTAATATATACTGTTGTAGTTTAATAGACATTGTAAGTAGAAGACATTAATGTCGCATGTTTATGCCTGAGGAACTTTTCCAGATTTGTGTGTCTGCATGCGTGTTTGTACATAGATGTCATAGATGCAGAAATGGTTCTGCTGGTACGATTTGATTCCTGTTGGAATGTTTAAATTACACTAAGTGTACTACTTTATATAATCAATGAAATTGCTAGACATGTTTTAGCAGGACTTTTCTAGGAAAGACTTATGTATAATTGCTTTTTAAAATGCAATGCTTTACTTTAAACCAAGGGGAACTTTGCAGAGGTGAAAGCCTTTGCTGGGTTTTCTGTTCAATAAAGTTTTACTATGAACAACCCAGGCAGAAACTCCTGTCATCTTAGCAGTTGACTCTGTGTCTGTCGTCACTGGTCAACCATCGGTTGAGTTGCTAATTTTTGAGTAACCTGAATGTTTTGCTTCATTTTTATAATAGGACTGTTTGTACTGATGCAGAATAATAAGGTAAGGCCATGAAACTTTTTATTTACTAAGTTTATACTTGTGTTTGCCCCCATTTCCTGATTTAAACAGTACTGGCTTGTGTTGTACGCCATCAAATTCCCCCCGATTCAAAGTTAGTGGCATTAAGTACCTTCCAGGTTGGCAATTCTGCAGTAGTCTCACCTGCTCAAATGTCATGCTTTTTGTAAGCTTTTGGGCTTTAATCCTTCCTTCAAGTATTATTTTTGAGACTAATCTTAAAAGCAAAGTTCTGTGTATTTTTCACATGTGTGACGCTGTAGGTAGAAAGCTGAAGTCCTGGGAACGTTGTCAGCAAAGTAAATCAGCTTCTTTTGTCATGGTTGTGATCATTTAAGTGAATCATGAAACATCACTGACATCAAATAAACATTCACTGAACAATTCATAGCCAGATGCTGGGTGGATACAAAGTTATTTTATGTGTGGTTGTGCAGTAAAAAGCCAACTAAGATAATTTTGTAAGGAGTTAAATGGCGGAGAATTTCAAATAACATCATACCTCCAGAACAGAGGAAGGACCAGAAGGGAGTGACTGTTGACTAGTTCTGAAGGCAGTATTGGCTTGAGGGAAGAAGTGACGTGAGACTGCAGGTTTTAGAGTTCCACGAGTGGGGAAGTAGGTGATGGAAAGAGTCTGAGGAGCTGGAGAGAAGGGTCACAGCAGAAGCAAAAGTGCAGAGACGAGACTTGCTCCTCCTGCCACAAAGCTGGGTTCCTGGCGTGCTTGGAGATTTGTGACAGGGGTCATTAAGAGTTGTTAAGAGGCCTTCTTAGAGTCTCAGGCAGAGAAGCCTGTTGTTCCCAGAGGTGCCCGTCTGCTGCTTCTGAAGGGGTGGGGCCTCTCTCCCTGTGGTGTCAGGTGGCGTCCATCAAACTCCAGACTCCACGGGCCCAAAATAGTTCCCGAAAGGTGCTCCTGAGGACAGCTGACAAGGGTTCAGATTGTCCCAAGCCCCACCGGGACAAGGAGGGAGCCTTCAGACAGCACCTAAGCCTGAAGACGGCTGACCGGTGGGAGCCATGGCAGAAATGTCAGTTCTTCCACAGCAGTGATAAATGTAGTATAAGAATGCACTGTGTACCACTATTAATACTTAGCGTGAGGGCTGCTGTGGTGGGGAAAGCCAAGTGGAAGTCACTAGCATGCCTCTAACTAGGAAAATGGTCAATCAAAAGCAATACACATCCCTAGAGGGATTTTTGAGGTCAGTGCAACCTCCAGGGACTTGAAAGATGCAGGGGTGGTGATTCCCACATGGCCATTCAACTCTCCTGTTTGGCCTGCATAGAAGATAGTTGGTGAGAATGACAGTAGATGATCATAAACTTATGATGTGATCGTAAATTTATGATTGGAGGTGGTGACTCCAATTGCAGCTACTTCACAAGTGTGGTTTCATTACTTGAGCAAATTAACACATCCCCTGGTTCCTGGTTTGCAGTGCCACAGGGGCATATAAACTATCCAGTCCTATGTCATTATAATTTGGCCCATGGGGACCTTGATCACGTTTTCCATCCACAGAATATCCCACCAGTTTAACATGGATGATATGTGCTGATTCAACCTAGTGAGCAAGAGGTAGTAACTACTCTAGATCTGTTGGTAAGACATTTACGTTGTCAGATATGAAATAAATTCAAAAAAATGTCAGGGGCCTTCCACCTCAGTGAAATTTCTAATGGTGCACTGGTTTGGGGCATGTCAAGATATCTGTTTGAGTGAAAGATAAATTATTGCATCTGGTCCCTCCGACAGCCAAAAAAACAGACACAACACCTGGTTGACCTCTGGATTTTGGAGGCAATGTATTCCTCGTTTGAGTACATTCCTCTAGCCCACTTACAAGTGACCTGAAAAGCTGCTGGTTTTGAGCGGGGCCCAGAACAGAAGGAAGATTTGCAGTGGGTCCAGGCTGCTGTGCCACTTGGGCCACAGAATCCAGCAGACCCAGTGGTGCTTGAAGTGGCCGGGGCAGACAGGAATGCTGTATGGGGCCTGCAGCAGGTCCTTACAGGTGAATCAGTGTAGGTCCTTAGCATTTGGGAGCGAAGTCCTGCCATTCTCTGCAGATAATCACTTCCCTTTTAAGAAACTACTGACTCTTTGGATTTACATCTGCAAAGATCCCACTTCCAAATAAGGTCACATCCCGAAGTTCTGGATGGACATTAATCTGGGGGGACACAATTCAATCCACAACAGGGAGAAGTGCTTCCAACAGGAGACACAACAATGATTCCATCAAGCTACACGCTCAGCCACCTGACTACTTTGGGCTCCTTGTGCCTCTGAATCAACAGGCAGAGAAGGGAGTTATCCTGTGGACTGAGGTGACTGATCCTGACTATCGAGAGGAAGTCGGTGAGCTCAGTGGTAGAGCATGTGCATAACGTGCATGAGGTCCTGAGTTGAATCCCAGTACCTCCACTGAGGGGAAGAATGGGAGAAATGGGGCTACTATACAATGAAGATAAGGAAGGTGTGTGGAATACAGGAGATTCCTAAGGGTGTCTCCCAGTACTGCCCTGCCCTGCTGTTAAAGTTGTTGGAAAACCCATTTAAGGCAGGACTACTCATGGCCCTGACTCTTCAGTAATGAAGGTTTGGGTCACCCCAGCAACCAGGACCAGCTGGGGTGCTCGCTGAGGGCTTGAAATAGGTAGTAAAAGAAGGTAGTTATAAACACCAACCACATCTGTGAGACCAGTTGCAGAAATGAGGCCTGTAATTATCATGAATATTTCTTCCTCCTCTTGTGCTGTGTTTGTATCCTCATCCACAAACCTGTGTATTATATATAGATACATAATACATATAAAGCAAGTATTTTTGTTTTCTTCCCTTTCTTATCCTCATCATCTAACAAGATGAATTAATGATAGTTAACCTTACATCACAGGATTGAAGTTATAGGATCTGAGAGGAGTTACCATCATCCAAGGACTTGGCATCCTCTCCTGGGGAAAGGATCAGTGTGTTTTGGGTTATACGCAGGATCGTTGCATCACATCAGACGGAAGCAAGACTTTGTTATTACCTTTAACTGGGGATGAAGTGTGGTTTTAGGACGTGTGCATGTGTACCAAGCTGACAAAGGGTGAACTGGGCTAGGCCCACTTATTCAAACCCTAATCTAGGTGTTGCTGGGAAGTTACTTTGCAGATAGACTTTAAGTACCATCGGTAGACTTTAAGTATGGGAGATTATCCTCTGTGATCTGAGTTGGCCTCATCCAATTAGCTCAAAGATCTGAAGAGTGAAACAGGTTTCCGGAGGAAGAAGCCATTAAGCCCATGAACTGCAGCATCAGCATCTCAAGTTTCCAGCCTGCCAGTCTGCCCTATGATTAGCCAGCCTCTACAACCACCAGTAAGCCCGTTCCTTGAAAGAAATAAGTAAGTATTAATCTCCAATGGGTTGTTTCCCTGGTAGAACTCTGACTGATAAAGGGTCCCAGCTCTGGAGCTTTTAGGGTCTAGCTCCTTGGCCTTGGATACCATATTGGTCAGTGGGGGTTGCTTCCAGACAGACTATGTCACTTGTTCAGAATCAGGTGCCTCTTTGGTTCTGCTTGAGACTGAAGGCATCTGGGGGCGGCTCCTGGGAAGCTATAAGGCTTTGCTCTGCCTCACAAAGTTTTCCCATTCTGGGCAGTGGGCTGCACTGGCTTGCAGGAAGAGGCAAGCCTCCTCTGGAGGGAAGCCATTAGGGTGGAAGTGGTCGGGTATAAACAGTGCGGGAGGCTGGGAGTGGGGTGGGCGTAGCTGTCTCTCATTTGGTACATCCAGGGGTGGCTTTGCCCATGGTGGTACCCAGTGGCCCAGCAGTGCATTATCTTCACGCAGGCCTGAGTGAGCAGGAGCTTGTGTTCCCAGCCACATAACCTGGCTAAAAAGCACACAGGCAGGCCCACGTCACATGGTCAGCACAAACAATTCTGCAGTGGTCAGGGAAGGCCTCTGAGGAGATGACACCTAAATGATGAACTGGAGCAAACCAAGCAAAGAGTTGGGGAAGCACCTTCCAAGTAAAAAGGAAGGCAATTACAAAGGCCCTGAGGTAGGAATGAATTTGGCATAGCCATTGTCTTAGAAGGTGGCAGGTGGCTGAAGTTGAGTGAGGGGGTGGTGGGAGAAAGGATCCAGAAGTAAGGGGACAAACCACATAGGGTCTTCTAGGCCACAGTAAGCAATGTGGGTTTTCATCAAAGTGGGATAAGATCCATTGGAGAAGCCATAAGGGAGGAAAAGAGGGGGGAGAACAGAATGATCTGATGGCTTATAGTTCAAGGAGCTAGAATATTATGAAGGAAGAAGGAAGAGAAATGATTGGCACACAAGGGGTACAGAGGGAGAATAGTTCCCCTGAGAGCCTGCCAGGAAAGCTGCAAATCCAGGGTAGAACAAGGAAGGGAGGAGGTGGAGGAGATTGCTGCTGATGACAGAAGGCAGGGTGGGAGGGTGTGGGGTCAGGGCCGGCTGGGGGATGGGTTCGCCGACAGCCCGCAGGCAGCTATGCGAGGGCATGTCTTAGTACAGGCTGACTGTGAGACACTGCCTCTAGGTGGTGCTGGAGGCAAACAAGGGGGCCAGAGAGGTCCTCCCCAGGGAAGGGCAGAGGGTGTGGCGACAGGGGAGCGGGTTTGAGCCCTTGCCGTGGGCCCTGGGGAAGTTGCTTCTCAGCACTGAGCCCCTGCTTCCCCATCCATAACATAGACCCCTGGGACATAGCGAACTGCTCTGCCCACCACATGGGGCCATGAGGCTCAAAATAACACAGTGCTCTCCAAAGGTGGTAAATATGACCCAGGATGGGCATGCAGAACCAATCTAGATGGCCTGTCCTTTATTGTAATAACCATGTTATTTTTTTAATGTATTAGATAAGTGTATTTTTCCACTTAAAGTGGGGATGTGAAGTTCTTTTTTAAAATACATTCGAGTAAAAAAGCGAGTCAGTTTAAAAGGTTATGTAAATAATAGTCTAAAGCATGTGCAGAGAAGACAGAAATCATGGCAGTAGTTTTTGAGTGATGGAGGTTCAGGAAACACTAAACACAAAGCTTTGTGAACATACAGCCCATGAAAATGTTAAAAGGAAAAAACCCGCCAACACTGAAGCGTGCATTTGTCTGTGTTTTGGGTGGCTCCCCTGGGCGTATGTGTGTGCATGTGCATCTCAGGCTCCCCTGGGCATATGCGTGTGCATGTGCATCTCATGCAGACGTACCGGGGTGGGTGTGTATTAATCTGCATTTAGGGGGCCCATGTGTGTATGTGGCATGTGCACATCCCTGTACACGTGCACACAAGACTATCTGCACGTTCACATGTCTTGCTTTATCTGGGCAAGCGTGTGAGTACAAGTGCACCAGGTGTGTGCGCATC